TACCGAGCACTGACACAGCACCTTTAGTGATCTAACAGTTGGGGGGAATTCTGATTATTCCACACAAAGAACCTTGGAAATGATTTGGTTGGAATACTTACATCTTCATCATTGGCATTCACATTTCCAGCCTGCCTTATTTATTTGCCCAACCATTACCTAATTTGGGGCAAATACAGGACCGGGTATGGTTAGAGACGGCTGTTTCTCCTCAAACAAGACCAGGTACACCTGGTTACGGAGAGCTATGAACGAGCCTAGCACAAGCAAGAAAACCAGTTTTTAACTAAAACTGATCTTACTTTAAAAACTGGCACTGAGTCCATTACTAGACAATGTTCAACTGTGATTTGAATAACTTCTAAATACAGATCAAATAACAGATCAAGTATCAGTGTTGCAAGCCGCATCTGTATGCACTGGCCACATGCTGTGCCTAAAATGGCGCCGGCCGGAGAAGCCACACCTTCGTGCGTGTCACGTAGCCTAGCGCATGCGCAGTGAGCTGCGGCGTGGCCGGCACGTGAACACTGGGGACTGACGAATCCAGTCGCCCAGGACCCTGCGTGATCATGACGCCGACCTATCATCGGCGGAGGCGGGGCCAGTCAGCACATAAGAGCAGAAAGACTGCCGGGGTCCGCCCCCCCTTCCTCTTCCTAATCTTTGTGCGCGCAATAAACTTTACCGCAGAAGGCTTCACTCGCGTCTGCGTCTTATTGCGGGACAATAAGACACGTGGGCGCGACAACTGGTGCCGGGAACCCGGGACCTGGAGGGGGCCTCCCGTTTCGAACGGGTGGAAGTCAGAACTGCGGCCAAAAGACAGGTAAGGAGCTCTGAGAGGGAGAACTTTCGGGTGACTAGGAGCATAAATCGGAGGTATAGGAACCACCGCTTCTGGTTATAGACATGGGCGCACGGTTCTCTCTGGTGAAATTTTTGCAGAGGGTTTATGCCCTCCGTAAGGGAGCGGTCAGAGAGAGTGACAAAGCCCTTCAGTCTGCCCAGGATAGTCTCTCAGAAACAGAGCGGGAGAGGAGAACCGGTTTGAAGCAAAAAATAGAGGTGAAATTGAAAGCAGTATCTTCCTCATCAAATTCGGAGACGTCCGACGCGGAGGAAGGGTACAAGCGGGATAGGCGGCATAGGCGCTTAGAACGCAAACCCGCAGGAGACAGAGGAGGATCAGAAAAGGAGAAGAAAGAGAATGGCGGTGCTACTGCGCCGGCCACGCTCGGCCCATGGCCTCAGGGCTCTGGAGCCATTACACTAATGGCTCCTCCTGCTGTGAAGCCATCTGCCCCGCAGGTAATCCAACACTGCTTGGAGGCATGGGCCGAGTGGGGTAAACCTGAATGTATTAAGACTGATAATGGTCCCGCCTATACTTCAGCCAAATTTCGTGATTTTTGCATGAAGATGGGCGTCAAATTAGTGACTGGCATCCCTTATAATCCACAAGGTCAGGGGATAATCGAACGTGCTCATCGCTCTATTAAGGAATTGTTACAAAAACAAAAAACCACCTGGGAATCACTTGGCCTCGCCAGTCAGAGCCCTCGGGCCACCCTAGCCCTGGCTCTCTTCACCATCAATTTTTTACAGCTGGATGAGCAAGGCCTTAGTGCTGCAGATCGTCATTCCCTTAACACGGCGCAAGAGCAATCTTGGGTCAAGTGGAAGGATGTTCTGGAGTCCAAATGGAAGGGCCCAGACCCAGTTATTAGGCAGGCTCGAGGAGCCATTTGTGTGTTTCCACAGGACGCCCCAGTTCCGGTTTGGGTTCCAGCTCGATTGACTCGTTCCTGTCCATCACCGCCTTCTGACGTTTCTGCAACCGCTGGAGCGCTTGCACGAGGATCTGACTTGGGGAAGATTCATGCAACCCCGCAATCAGAAACTCCTCCTACAATCCCACAGGACAATGGTGCCCCGCCCAGTGCAAACACAGCTGATGGTGCAACTAATGGTCTGTATGGCGCTTGTGAGGACCGTGATTGCTGAGCCACAATGAGGAGTTTTGAGTGTTTTTCCACGACCCTTACCGGTCGCCCACTCAGCCCGAGTGTTTCCTTGATTTTTTCTTCTTTGGATTTGCCTTTTCTCCCTTATGATGATATTAAGGAGAATGTGAGTAATTTTTTATTCCCCCTACAGGACACGCTTTGTTTTCAAGCATTTCCTGAGAATTTTAGTGTCAAGGTTTATGTGTTACTTCCATTCCTTTTCAAAATGTTTCAACGGCTGCTAATCTTTCTTGCCAGCTTTCTTCTTATCTTTTAGGAAATTGGACGAGAGAATTTGATATTTTACAGTCGGAGTTGAGAATTGCCATTGTCCAGATTAATTCTACACGGGTGGATCCTGTTGTTGCTGAAACCCTGGCCACTTGGATTTGGAACATCACTTCCCATATTAAGGAATGGGTGGGAGTGGTTGTGCTGATTCTGCTCTTGTGTGCAGGCTGTGCCTTATGCCTTTTTTGCCTGTGTCATCTGAGACACCGCGCTCAGCGAGATCGTGTGGCAATACATCAAGCCCTACTAGCCATGCAGTATGGTGACTCCCCCATGGTATGGTTGAGCATGCTTCAACGGGTTTAGTTAAGAGCATGGACATCATGGCTCCTGCACCTCAGGCCATTATGGCATTGCACTGAGTTCGAGCATGATGCACCCGACTAGCCCTTGCACCTCGCAGGACTTATCCATTGCACGCGAGAGGGTAGTCACTCTTATAACTGCCTTGTCGAGACATTGCTCTTTACAACCACCGCGGTTGTAGCCCATGACGGGTAAGATAGACCCAGACAATTATCGGTCTAAGACAGGGACTACGTCAAGCTACGCAGCCTCCCTATGACGGATCGTGTGCCTTGAGTCTACAACCTAAGACAGGCCCATACCAACTTATTTTTTCTATTGTATAAGAAGGGGAGAGATGTTGCAAGCCGCATCTGTATGCACTGGCCACATGCTGTGCCTAAAATGGCGCCGGCCGGAGAAGCCACACCTTCGTGCGTGTCACGTAGCCTAGCGCATGCGCAGTGAGCTGCGGCGTGGCCGGCACGTGAACACTGGGGACTGACGAATCCAGTCGCCCAGGACCCTGCGTGATCATGACGCCGACCTATCATCGGCGGAGGCGGGGCCAGTCAGCACATAAGAGCAGAAAGACTGCCGGGGTCCGCCCCCCCTTCCTCTTCCTAATCTTTGTGCGCGCAATAAACTTTACCGCAGAAGGCTTCACTCGCGTCTGCGTCTTATTGCGGGACAATAAGACACGTGGGCGCGACAATCAGAATAGAAATCTGTTCACTATATAAAATACACGCTGAGTTTTAGAGGTTTGTTACTGAAAAAAAAAGACATTAATAATTTTATCAAATATTATTTTAGTGGAAACAATACATTGGAAATACTGGTTAGATAAAACAAACTATAAATTATTACAATAAACCTTAAAGTACTTTTATTGTGGCTGCTGCTGCTAACATTTTCAAAAACTGTGTCTGTAGTTTGCACCACGTTTCTTTATGGATCCTATATGCCTAATTGAAAGAGGCAGCCTTTTCTTAGGCAAAATAACGTCTTGGTCCAATTTCCTGAGTATTCACTTAACATTTTGTCTTTTTATTCTTGTATGTTCATATGTAACTCCCCCTCAGCCGCCAAGTCAATGCTTAACAGATGTGCAAGCCAGTTGGCTTTGGACAGCTCCTGGAGTTTTTAAAGATTATTTCTTGGCAGCTTTTGAAAAAAACCCACTAATTGAAAGGTTAATCAAATCAGTCAGAGTTGTATTTTGGTTAAATAAACACCCTGTCTTCACTACGGATTGAACAGATGCATTCGGCTCTACCCAGAAGGCTCACGTAGTCCATAATTACCTTCGCTCTGTCAAGGTTCTAAGAGTAGGGCAGTATGTTGGATCCTTCGCAAATCAAGATTGTATTGTAACTCAAGAAATCTCTGTGTTCCTTTAGGATTCTACAGAACCTAAAACAACAGTCATAGTAATTCTACCTGGAACATCTCAAGTGACAAGTTCACTCGTGCAGGTAAGTATCTCTAACAGATAGATACTTTGAGAAAGACTTCTTTCCTAGTAGACATGTTAAGGCACAAAATTTGTTACAAATCCCGGGAAGTGTTGGCACCTGGTGTGCCTGGAAAGAACTGCTGTTAGGGCACAGCGGGCCGACAGAGTGAACAGTAAACCCACAAACTAGCCCTCCCGGGAGAGATGGAAAGTACGCCCAACCCGCCGAGGTCACTACAAGGTCAAAGGTCAGAAAGGCCACGCACAATGCTGATGAGATGGATCACTACTTTAACAACAAGAAATTGTGTGGTGAATGCCTTTCTACGTGGAGAAGTAACTCCAGAGTCCTAACCCATCAGTGGGGAGAAATGTCCAAAGGAATCACATCTGGAATGGTTAACGAACAGTACAGTCCGGTAGGAAGGAATATTGAGAATTTCTGTAAATGAGATTTACTCTGCTACGATTCTGCTACCAGACCAACTATGTTCAAGATTAAATTACACGGACTTGTGCAACTAAAGAAGAGACTTTCCAATGGATAAAACAGTGTTTCTAGGAGGCAAATTCAGTGTTTCAGAAACACAACGGCATGGTAGCGATGTGGGACAGCCAGTCAGTGGCAGGGCTGGGCGATGGGGTCTTGCCCCCTGCTGAGAGCGCCTACCCCACAGGCTCCACGCCCAGAGGGAGCGCACGGCTGTCATACCTGGAGCAGCAGGGGAACGTGCGTTTCTGCGGAACCTCCTGTTCTTAGTGGTGCTGTGCTTGCTGACTGTGAAGCATCTGGAATCTTCCCCTCTGTGGGTATGTATTATCGTGTTGCTGAAAGAGCAGCTACCCCCTAAAAATTATTTCACTAGAAAATATTTTGCTTTGAAATTACTTAAAATGTTATTCGGTTTGCTACAAATCTTAGTTTGGTGCAAAAAAAAAAATGTGAAACAACAAAGGATCATTCAATTCTAAGTAAAATTCAAAAGTACATTTATTTAAAAGGTGGGCAAGATATCGATATAAAAGAAAAGAGTATAAGAAATAAAAATAATCAAAGTACAAAACATTTCAAATCTTTAACATCCATAATTTATAGATAGCAAGGTCTATTTACACCATTTTATTTGTAATTGAAGTTCTGCATGGTTTTGTGAAAACACTTAAAAACCTGGCAAATGAATCATAAAACCTAATGTGGGCTCTCAAAGTCATATAATACAAAACATAATTTATGTTTCCTCGGAATAAAATTGCACATCTTAATAAGATGCAGTATATTTATTATATTTGTTTTCCTGCTTTAAAATCTCATTCCCTAAGAAAGCAGCTGGAAAACAAGAGTGTCTGAAGGAAGCCCTGGTGCTGGCCGAGCCTGGCAGTCGGCCCCGACCCCGCACGACACGCTCACAGCAGCACAGGCCGTCAGTTGAATTTATATGTGGGCTCGTTGAGGAAAATGACTCGGAAACGTGAGACAAACTTTACATGAACATTAACCAGTTTCAGGCATTATTTAAGAGAATGCTGTAGCTTTTCTTTGCTACCCACTTTACCCAGTCAGTCTTGCTGCCCTTACAGCAGCAAGGGGGACTTGAAATCCTGACCACACAAGCTTGATCAGCGCAAGCATGTCAGCAGGTGGGTGGACTGGGCCTCATGCTGGTGAGTTACCCACGTTCCACCACCAGGCACTGGCCAACGAGCCCAGCACTATCTAGTCTCCACGCATCTAACGACACCGCTAACCAAAGTGCTAACCACATAACAGCAAACACAAGAAAAACAGCTTATAAAACCAGCGAAAGGGCCACTGTGTCAATCGCCTATAACCATTTTTCATCCATCCATGTTTTACTCTCTTTCAAAAAGGATATGATTCATAGTCCAGCGTCTGCGTCAGCACTCCAGTTAAAACGAACTCTGCATTGTGAACATCTGAGTGGAACGGGAACAGTTCAGAAGTCAGTACAGTGCTCCGAGTGTAGACACACATACAAACATCTAGCAAAGCAACAAACCGTACCTATTCCTCTGGCAAAGTATTCTCGACACAAATGAAGGTCATTTTCACAGGAGATCAAGATAATTTCTGACAAGCTCTAAGGGAAAGAGAGGAGGGTCTCAGTGGCTGAACAGCGAGTCACGCACACGGCAGGGGCCCAGCCACTGACTGCACACTGCCAAGTCACGCACACGGCGGGGGCCCGGCCACTGACCACACAGCCGAGTCACGCACACAGTGGCAGTCCCGGCCACTGACCGCACACTGCCGAGTCACGCACATGGCAGGGGCCCGGCCACTCACTGCACACTGCCGAGTCACACACACGGCGGGGGCCCGGCCACTGACCGCACACTGCCTAGTCACGCACACAGTGGCGGTCCCGGCCACTGACCACACACTGCCGAGTCACACAGTGGCGGTCCCGGCCACTGACCGCACACTGCTGAGTCACGCACACAGCCGAGTCATGCACACGGCAGGGGCCCGGCCACTGACCGCACACTGCCGAGTCACGCACACGGCAGGGGCCCAGCCACTCACCGCACACTGCCCACCTTATTCTGCTTGTGCTCCATGAGCTTCCGGAAGGACGGCTGCTTGGGCAACACCTTTCCTCCTGCACATTCCACAATCGCCTTCATCGTCGAAAGACTTGGGCAGATGCCAGGTGTGATGTAAAAATACTTTGCCTACAAAATTGAAAACATGTACCATATTTAAAAAAAATTTTTTTTTTTTTAGTTTTTAGAAGCATCAAAATCTTTCTTAGATTCTACCCTGAGGTATTTGACAAAGCATCTAATCTCATGAAATGTGTAAGCTAATACTGCCCCATCCCGCTAGTACTCAATCCAGGCAGATACATTTGGGAAAGGCTTACACACTTTCTCATGTTGCATCTGAGCATGAGGATTACGAATAACCTCAGAAATGCGGTGCTCTGACATGGGTAAACTATACCGCACACTTTGGCAGAGTTTCTGCAAGGTTTCTAAATCAGGATCACGTTCCACCGCGCCTCTGCCAACCAGCGGGGACAGCCTGGCTCCTGGGCCGTGTCTGCGTTTTACATTTTCTCTACATTGTGGGCTCGAGGCGACTGGGAAGGGACACAGATGCTGAAGAGTTAACAAGCTTGCCCCTGAGCGTGCCATAAAACATTGTCCACTCACATGAAACAGGCAGACTTTGGAAAAAGTAGCTTGTTTTATGGAAAATGTATCAATTTAGTATTGCTAGTCACTTCTAATTCTAAATTGGCTCTTTAGGAAATTAAAAGAACAGATTATCTTCATTAATTTACTTAGCTTTTGATGCCAAGAAAAATTCCCAGCTGTTCTAAGTATCGAATCTAACAACTATGTTAAAATCCTTATTTCTAGGTTATTTACATACATTCAATTAATACTCTTCCAAGTGAATACAAATTTATTTAGAGCTGTATTAAGTAAGCAATTCCTCCAAAGATTTGTACAAGTAGAAAATAAACTTAAATGTCTCACCAATCAAACAGCCCATGAAGGAATTCTTTGACTACCTCACCTCTGCTAGACCTGTTTCTTTCAGTCATGTGCAGCCTGTTTAATTACTGTGCAGAAAAGCTCTCTGGAGCTATGCTGTGCCCCTCTGGGCGAGGCAAGGAGGATGGACCAGGAAACGGGAAGTCAGAGCGAGCCCACCCCGCTGGAGCTGCCCCGTAAGCCAGCGCCTGCACGGGTGACCTACCCACAGCGCCGTCTACCTAACATGCTCTTTATAGGGGCAGCGCTGAGGCAGCCTCTTGGCATGTCTAGGTATCCAGAGTGCCTGGGTACATTCATGGCCCCATTCCAGCTGGGCCTTGCTCTCCCACAGGAGAAGCACACCGAGTCCCTTGCTGGCTGCAGCCTGGCCCAGCCCCGGGTGTCACAGGCATTCAGGGCACACACCAGGAGATGTAACGTTTGTGGATGTCTCCGCCTTTTGAATAAATAATATACGTGTGTAGACACATACGCTTATATATACCTTAAAGAGTGGAGAAACATGGGCTCGCTTTAGGGATTCTTCTAAACTGAAAGAGAAAAGCACTTCAGCCTCAGCATCTCGAAGAATGTAGTTCTGCTCATCTGCAAGATAAAGACACACCCTGGAGCGTGCAGTCCGGCCAGTGCAATGCACGCTGGGGACCCGAGCCCTCGGTCAAGTGCTCCACACTAGGTATTTACAGTAACAGCAAACAGGCAAATTATTCCTTCTCCTACATCAGTGGCAAGTCACTTTCAGGGGTCCTTAAACTCAGGGAAAAAATGTCCTGAAAGTGACAGACACGGCTCCGCAGCAGCAACCGCGTTTCCCACTCATCAACACTGATCTGTTACAGGGAATTGACAAGCTCCCTGAGCGGAAAGATCCCACGGGATAAACTCCAGGTCCACAGTGACCAGCGCGCATATGTAGAGACTTCAGAAAGTGGCAAAAGTGAAATGGAAACATGTTTGTTTGGGTGCAAAAACATGTAGCTCCATATAGTCTTGTATTGTCCACAAACTTCTTCCATTCACACCTGTCCCTGCCTGTCACACCCCAGACCCACTATAACCAATTCCTCAATCACTGAAGGGACATTACAGTCAGTTGGGTGATGATCAACTAAGTGAACCTACCAAAATGTGGATGTATCAAAAAACACACCCTTTTACAGTACACGGAATTTTTCAGAAATTCTAATTAAGTGGTCTTTCGTTTGCTTAGTAGCGTTTTAAGAAATGTCTGGACTGTGGGAAGCTAGAAGTCACAAAATGTTTTCCTACTCCTAAGAAGTTTTGTGTGTCTCGTGTTTAGAAGAGCATTTCTTACCCACCATTTCCCAAAAATCACATCATGTAATACAGACAACGTCACTTTGACCCCAGGTGCTCAACCAACCACCTACAGCTGGGGCTGGCCGCACTCTACATATTTGTATTACGTATGTATGTATGTATGTATAAATATGTATTTGTATGATTCTGTTGCACATTTTTCTTGCCTTCAGGGCCATAGTTGGCTGACCCTTAAGCACAAGGAATCATATCACTACGGCAATGCTAACATCTATCCACTGTGAGCCCTGTGGGAGACCAGGGCGGAGTTCTTGGTTCCCTGGCTTCCGCACAGCCCGGATCTTGACCAGTGCATCCACTGGGGAGTGAACCAACAGATGGAAGATTTATTTGTCCCCTTCTGTCACTGTCCTTTTCAAGTAAAGTCATAAATCTTTAAAAACGTATCTAACAATTAAACCATGACAAGCTATAAAATTCTCTTAGGAAATCCTAGATTTGCAGGTTAACTATGAAACACGATTTCTGAATATGAAATGTTTTATCCCTGAACCAATTTAGAACCCTCTGGGATCAACACCGCAAACATTTGTTAGCAATGACAAGAAGAAATGAAAGCCACTCAACCAAATCTCCCCATAAAAAATGTATTGGGAGCATCAGAAACAGATAAAAGAGCCAGGTTTTCACAAGCTGATAGCCCTGAAATATTAAGAGAACATCATTTATTAAATTAGGCTTAACAAACTGATTTTCAAAAAACTGGCATATTTCTTGTTAGAAAAAAGAAAAGAAAGTAAAAAAAAAAAAAAAAAAAGAAAGAAAAAGAAACAAACAGCTCCAAAGTTAATGTTCCCAAAAGACAACCAATGGCGTGAATGGCAGCAAACGCACGGGCCTCTCCCCAGTGCGCAGGCCCACGCGCATCTTACCCACATGAAGAACCTCAATGAATTGAGGACCTTAGAAATAACGTTCACATTCGATACAGTTGGGACCTAATATTTCTAAATATTTCTCCTTCTGTCTTCCTTGTTACCTTCCACACTGCCCTAACCCGGAGCGCACACACACTCAGGGCTTTGCGCAGTGCTTGCCTGCATCACTGCGTTCTATTCATCTGTAGGCAGAATGATACAGGAGCAAGGAGTGAGGCTTGGGGACACGAGGGCTTCCAGCCAGCACTGCACGCTTCTGGCTGGCAACACGAAACTCCTATCACTAAGCAAATACAGGTCGCCCCCAAGTCCGTCCTGTACGGCTGAGGCAGGAAGACCAAATGGACAGTCAAACTGAGAACGCAGTGGGGTCCAATGGCTGGGCTGCTGCTTCTTTTACCCATTTGAGGACTCAGTAGGCTAAGACACCAACTGCCAACACTGGGATCCTGTACAAGCACCAGCTCGAGTCTCACCTGCTCCATTTCTGATCCAGCCTCCCGCTAAAGTGCCTGAGGAAGCAGCCCAAGATGCTCAAAGTACTCAGGCTAATTACGATTCCAAATCCCTGGGTGGTCCGACCCTCGCATTTCTGGCCATTGGGGGAGTGAAGCGATTAACAGAAAAATATGTCTCCCTTTGTATCCCTCTCTCTGAACTTTCAAATAAAAAAATAGGAATAAAAAGAAGGCAAGGGGGCTGGTGCATGGCGTAGCACTCTAAGTTTCTGCCTACAGTGCTGGCATCACATATAAGTACCAGTTCAAGTTCCGGTTGCTCCACTTCCTATCCAGCTCCCTGCTTCTGGCCTGGGAAGGCAGCAGCAGATGGTTCAAGTCTTTGGACCCTGGCACCCATGAGGGAAACTAGGAAAGACTCGTGGCTTTGGATCGGCTCAGCTCTGGTCACTGATGCCTTACGGGGAGTAAGCCAGCAGCAGATGGGAACATCTCTCTCTCTCTCTGTTTCCCCCTCTCATTCTGCCTCTTTTTGTTTCTGTAACTCAGCTTCTTTCAAATAAAAGTAAAATAAAATCTTAAAAAAAAGAAAAAAGGAGAGGAAGAGGACGAGCTGGGGAAAGTGGAAGGGGAGGGAAGAAAAGAGAGAGGGGAGTGGGGAGGAGAGGAGGTCCCAGGTCTGGGTGGCAGACCGCACGCTAGTCCTGCAGACATGGCCAATACTGCTGCCATGATAAAGGTACCCAGGCTTCTGAAGTCTCTAGCTTCCAGGGGGGAAAAAACCCACCATTTAGAATTCAGAATTATTTTATACTTGCAACATTTGGAAACACATGAGGCGGGAAAGAAATCTGCCTATTAAATAATTATCTAATAGCTAAACAAACTGGATGTGTGTTGACATGAAAATGGAGGGAAATGTGACAGAATGGACTTGAGGGCATTTAAATGCGGCGTTCAGGTGGGTACTTGGCACCGAAGACAATGTTCTCTCTCTCAAATAAATAGAAATAAAATCACAGGAACAAAGGATATCAGTGAAGATACCTAAAAACCAAAACGGACATGGGGGCAGACATTGCTCCTTACCAATGAACTTCTGGCACTTGAAGCATTCTTCCAGCCACTCCGGCGTCACGATGTGCTTCACCACGGAAATGGCCGTCAGGAACTTCACAGTGCGGGTCACCTTGCTGGCAATGAGGTGCGTGCACGTCTGTGCAGACTCGACAACCTCCCCACCGAGAATGTAGAGCTTCTAGAGTGACAAACAGGGAGCAGCTGATGAAAAGTCTAAGCATCCGCGGTGTGCCGCAGTCAGCAGAGTACCATGCAGACAGGTGCCGATCTGGGCCCAAAACAACCCAACGGCTCCAACACGACCGAGCCGGCCAAAGTGCAGGGGAAAAGCAAATGGCAGGGTTCCAATCAACTCCAGGGAAACCAAGGTTAAAGTCTTGAATTCTCAGTAACACATTTCCATGAATAAAGATGACCCCAGAATAACACCACTCGTTTCAAAACAGCATAGTCTTTCTAAGCTGAAACTGCTCTCGCCAGGCATATTAATTTATTATGCCCAACTTTTATGACACAAAAATTATTTCTTAACAAGTATACTTACATTCCAAAGGCAGAAAAGTCAAACCGTGCTAACTTTGTTATAGTAGTATTTATAATGGTTTTCTTTCCTCAAAACAAAAAGATGTTAGGACTGGGGCTGCTGTTGTGGGGCAGTGAGTTAAGCCGTCACCTGCAATGCCAGCATCCCATGCCAGTGCCAGTCCGAGTCCTAACTGCTTCACGTCCAATCAGGCTCCAATGGCCCGGTGCCCGTACCCCTGCGCCCACAGGAAGGGCTGCAGGCTCTCGACTCTGGCCTGGTCTAGCACCAGCCATTGCAGCTGTTTGGGGAATGAGCTAGTAACTGCAAGACAGACCTCTCTCTTTGCAACTCTACTTTTCCAATAAGCAAACAAATAGAAGTAAAATACATGAATCCAGCGTGACACAGGTCAGCATACTCTTATCCATCTTCTTCGGAACAAAAAAAGCAAAGCAGCAGAACCAATCCCACAATCCTTTGCAATGTGATTTCAAAGTACACATTAAAGATTCTGAGGGTCAGCGCCGTGGTGCAGCGAGTTAAGGCACTGCTTGCGACAACAGCATCATGGAAAAATGTCAGTTCAAGTACCGACTGTTTCACTTCCAATCCAGCTCCCTGCTAATGCATCAGGTCAAAATGGACCAATTATTTCGGCTCCTGCCACCCACGTGGGAGACCTTGATGGAATTCCAGACCCCTGGCTTTGGCCTGGCCCAGCACCAGCCATCCAGCCATTTGGGGAGTGAACCAGTGAATGGAAGCGATCTCTCTGTCACCCTTTCAAACAAATAAATAAAATTTTGGCTTTACAAAAACGACACTAGAGTACCCTTACAAATGTTCCCTTGGTCATTAAAGAAAAAAAAGGTCCTTGGCCACGGTACCAGAATATTCTGGTATTAAGTATCTAAATATGAAGTGATAACATGAAACATGGCAGGAAGTCATAAACAATTTAGTGACTTAATTATTTTAAAAACTACCACAAATACTTTATATGTACTATACAAACTGTTATAACATGAGATTCCTGATCAAATGTTACTCAATAAACTTGTAGCCTGACATAATATGCACTGGAAGGAATACTGCTACAAATCCTTAAACAAAGCAGAACGAAATTTCACCTTTATATACTGTTGAACTTGGACAGGCTCAAATCCCGTGAAAAGCACCAAAGGGGTCAATTCTGGTGTTAACTTTTTAGTGGGAGGTGGTATATCTTCAATTCTATAAAATAAATACACAAACAAAATAGCAAGGACGTTATTGCTTACTCAGATGGCAACGTTCCCATGGCTGGCTAACGTGGGTAACGGAGCTGCTGCCGGGGATGCCAAGGACGCGGTCCTGCCTCCACTTGTGCTCAGCCTCTTGCTCCCATACATCCGGGGAGGCAGCAGTGTCGGGGTTCCCGCCACCCTTGTGGGAGGCCCCAGACGGAGCTCCTGGCTCCTGGCCAACATCTCTGTTTCTCCCTCTCTTTCTCTTGGCCTTTCAAATAAATATTTACTTCAAATAAATAAGTGGGAACTAAAAATGCTCTTTGATGAAAAGCAGATTTCAATGGCTCAACAAAGGGTAATAGCTTTGAGTATGTGCAGCTTTTATTCAGGTTAGAAAAAAAACATTTCTTTTTCTCCATTTACTTGAAAGGCAGAGATAGAGAGAGTGACAGAAACCTTCCATCCACTGGTTCAGGTCCCGAATACCTAGATGGCCAGGGCCGGGCCAGGACAAAGGCAGGAGCCAGGAACCCAATCCAGATCTCCCACAGGGGTGGCAGGAAGCTGGAGTAGGGAGCAAAGCCTGAACTTGCCCTCAAGAACCCCAATATGGGACAGGGGCATCCTAAGTAGTGCTGTCACACCAAACGTCGCCCCACATGGTTTTCATTCTTTTAAAAAAAAAAGGCAGTGAACTGCTGCCCCGCCTTTCCCATCATCTACATGAAGTTTCTACCCACTCCCAACGCCACCTCTAAAGCCTACGAGGACAGCTGCCGTTTGGTCACGCTCCATATGTACGCATTCTCTTCTTCCTCACCAATCCCTTCTCAATTTTTCAAAAAGAAAGCAAATAGGTGATTTTTACATTTCCCTGACTTTGCTAGCTCAACCACTAAAATGGCCATCTTTCATTTTTATATCAGTTTATCTTTCTAAATCTTGTCCAATGTAGGCCATTCCTCACTCTGCTGTTCAGCAATGACCAATGTTAGTCAAGATGGAGTCCCCCCAGAGTGTCTGGGGTCTCCTTCCAATTCCAGGCCTGTGCTTTCCGCCAAAAAGCAGAACACAAGCTCTTTCATTGAAGCTTGGAGTTTAAATCAAACTTTTCAACCTCTTTTATTTTTCTTAAATGATGACTGCAAAAAACAATGCAAGCAGTTCTGTTCGACCTAGTACAATGTGGGACCAGTTCCTCAGAGGTGTGCTTAAGCCACCCTTTGGGATGCCCACATCCCATACATTGCAGCACCCTAGGGTGCTAGCGCACTTCAATGACCACAGCTTCTGTTTTCAATCCTGGAGTGTTAGGTATGGGGTTCTTACTGGTAAAGTCTCACCTTAAAAAATAGTCAACATTTTATTTTATTAAAACAAACCAAAGTCCATATAGGCTGGCCAATGTCATCACTCACTCTCTCACATGGAACCTGTGAAGCAGAATCTCCCAGAACAGACTTACTGAATGAATCCAAGCGACAATCGTGCGGCGCAGGAGCGGCGTGCCTACCTGGCTCTTTTGGAAGAAGGCTGCATGTTAGTGACTTCTTTCTGCTTCAGCGTGGGAGGTAATCTTACACCCTGCAATCAGAATATCATCTACTTGAATCAAATCAATCTCCCAGGTTATACAAGTCGAACAATTCAATCACCGAATCATGTATGAGTGCTGCTAACCAGCCCGCAGTCCGAGCATTGGCCTCAGAGAACTACAACGATGCCAGCCGGGAACAGTGGGCAGCGAGCCACAGAGAACTCCCGCGCTGCCTTTTCTTGGTCTCCCTTCCTGCTTTCTAAATCCTCTCTGGTCCTAGCTCGGGTTTGGTTTAAGGTGTCTTCATTTTCTCCTCTCCCTCACCTCAATTTACATTTGCAGCTCTCACCTTTCAACTTCCCACAAAGGTTTGGATTTCGTGGATTTTGTTCTGCGTCCCAATTTAGAATGTGAAAAACAATCATTGCAGCTAAATATTCGTAAAAAAAAAGCCTATCACCTATGAAGTTTCACAAATGACATGACATGACAAAGCAGACCAACAGTGCCGTTAAAGGAAGACAAGGTGCCAAAAGTCACAGTCTCGGGAAAATGCCACGCGCGCTGGCCCAGCGGGAGCGCCTGGCCCTGGAGCAGAAGCCCAGAGGAGACAGGGAGCAGGGCCTCTGCGGCCCCCCAGCCGACGGCCCCTTCCGCCCCATTCCCAGCACGATGCTCCACGTGTGAGATCCAGGGCTCTTTCAAAGACATTCTGTTTGCTCTAACAACTTCTTGACCTTGGTTAACTTGCTCTACCCGTAACCTACATTTTCTGAACACTGCGACTATATTTGGGTAACCAATCTAAACATCAGTGTATGGAACCACTAGTCTTTCCACACGTGGAAAAAGCTTACAATGATTTACAAGAAGGTTATTTTTTTTTTAACCACTATCTTTACACAAGACAAAATAAACCTTCACTTTCTGTTTCCAAAGATTACCATCAAGTCTCCAAATTATATTCTTGGTAGTAAAGACATAAAAAATTAGTTATCTAAGTAAAAAAGATAAACTGAACCCCTTGTATCTATGATTTCTCACTTTTAATAGAAAACCACAATAGAAATGAATATCTGGAAATTAACACATGCACAATTAGAGTAATCAGGTTTCTGGTTTAATTTTAAAAGTCACCACACAATTTCCTTCATCTAGCTACTGTGAGAATATTTCTTTCTGCCCGCGTTTCAGAGGGGGTCACATTCTACTGAAACCGGAACTACTAGTTTAACGGGGAGAACCACACACAGACCCGGAAAGGCCCTGCCGTGCCAGCCGTGCCAGCCATGCCAGCCATGCCAGCGCTGTGAGGCAGCCCCTGAGCGCCTCTTTCGGTCCTCGCTGCTCCGCTTCCCTCCTGCTCCCCACTGATGCGCCTGGCAAAGCCGGGCAGGGTGGCCCTAGGGCTTAGGCCCCGGCACCCACGTGGGAAACCCCAATGGAGCTACAGGCTCTTTGGCCTTCCCCAACTCCGGCTGTGGCAGTCACTTGGTGAATGAACTAGTGAAAGCAAGATCTCTGACTCGCTCTCCCTGTAACAACGCCTTTTAAACCAAATAAAACATCTTTAAAAAAACAAGTTCATGTAAAAGTGGAGGTAGGAGTGTATTTTCATATTAAAATTTTTTTTGAATCCAGGCAGTTGTTTGTAACACACTCCAAGACCCCCTGTATATGATCACATGTTTCTGCAGACCGAACTCTGGGAGAACTGGGAAAGATGTAGCAGAAGTTTCTGGAATCTTGTGAAGACTCTCCCCAGGTAGCTGCTGAATTACACAAACACTAAATTATCTCTGCATGATAAAATCATGGTTTGAAAAAGATGTGGAAGACCAGTGCAATAGCCTAGTGGCTAAAGTCCTCGCCTTACATGTGCCAGAATCCCATCTGGGCGCCAGTTTGTATCTGGCTGCTCCACTTTTCCTTCCAGCTTGTGGTCTGGGAGAGCAGCAGAGGACGGCTCAGAGCCTCGGACACAGCAGGACAGCCAGAAGGGGCTCCTGGCTTCGGACTGGCTCAGCTGCAGCTCTTGCAGCCACTTGGGAAGTGAACCAGTGAATGGAGGATCTTTCTCTCTGTAAGTCTGTCTTTCCAATGAAAATCAATAGATCATTTTTTAAAAATGACCATATAACATGGAAATTGACTTTTTAAAAATTTAGGAGGGCCCAGCGGTGTGGCCTAGCAGCTAAAGTCCTCGCCTTGAACGCCCCGGGATCCCATATGGGCGCCAGTTCTAATCCCGGCAGCTCCACTTCCCATCCAGCTCCCTGCTTGTGACCTGGGAAAGCACTCGAGGACGGCCCAAAGCTTTGGGATCCTGCACCCGCGTGGGAGACCCGGAAGAATTCCTGGATCCTGGCTTCGGACCGGCATAGCATCGGCCGTTGCACTCACTTGGGGAGTGAATCATCTTCCTCTCTGTCTCTCCTCTTCTTTGTATATCTGACTTTCCCATAAATAAATAAATCTTTAAAAAAAAATTAGGAAAGTAACACAAACATATTCCCAAATCTTTAAATTACAGGGCTACTGAATGAAATCCTACCACTTACAGTAAAATGGTCCTAACAGAGACCACTACGCTCAGTGAAACAAGCCAATCCCAAAAGGACAATTATCATATTTTCTCTGATATAAGACAACACTCACGCAAAATACAGAATCAATAGATATAGGTAAGCATGTACATACATACATCTACCTAGAAGAACTATATAATGCAGACAAGTGTACCGAGAATTAAAGATACAGTGCGGTACAGTCTCTGCTCCCAGGGAGACTGTTAAAGCTCTCTTGACAATTGGAAGCTGGGCTCTGTGATGGGGAAGGAGAAAGGGTAGTGGGGATGGAAGTGGAAATCCCTGAGCCTATCAAACGGCATCATGAAAAATGAAAATTTTTAAAAAGGCAATAAACAGGGCTGCCGTCCAATGAAGAAGCAGCGTTATTCTCAGTGTTGAAAAGCAACAAGATTCTCAGATAATCACAGTCATGTTTCTGTCTGTAACTAAACAGAGAAGGAAGAATGCAAAAAAAAAAAACAACGCTGTTCACAATCTACCGCACAGATGAGAACATGGCTGGCTCATCCTGGCTCATCGCTTAGAGGATGAACCCCCCTGTGGTAACTGAGAAGACAGGGCATGCAAGCCTGCAGGACGCCGTCCGAGACCCGACCTGGGACCCGAGGAAGGCACCTCCCCTCACTGCTGAAGAACTGCGAGTCCTGTTCCAGGCTGTGGCCTGCTAAGTTCCACATCTACGGCTCCGAATGATCCTCAAAGGTTTTTTTTGTGACCAGTGAGAACATCCAGATTCTACATGCTATGTTGCAAAATAAGGTTATTAACTTGACATACCATCAGCAACTCCGGGGATACTTTCAACGGCACTCTCCAGGCATCTAAAGAGAGAAACACAATCTTCTTTACAACACCATCCTGCTTCAACAGAAGGGCCTCTTCCCTTGCCAGAGCAGTAATCGTAGGCACACGGGTGGCTTAGCTGAAGTAACACAGAGGAAGGCTCTCCAGCACAGGCCGAGACGGGCAGCGCCAGGGCCGGGGCACACCCTGAGTGCTTCCTTTGTCAGAAACCCTGCAGCACATCGGTGGCAGTCAGCAGCCCGCTACGAAGCGTTGGTTAGACATTTCTAGAAGTCTCTACCTACTTCTGACTAGAAGATAGTTTGTTCGCTTAACACACCAATTATGACGAGTGGTCGGTCAGCAAGAAGGACGACCAGGAGAAAGAGCCTGGCCAGAGAGATTTAAAATGTGTATGCAGTGGGACAGAGGAGAGATACACCCATGCTGAACACTTGGAGAAGGATGTCTAAGAGGGAAGATCTGCTGGTTCTAGAATGATCCACAGTAAAAGCCGTACCGACGAGCACACTAACGGCATACAGACTGTAACCAAGGAGCTTTCTCCTGATTAAAGCCATCCGAGATCAAAATATGCTCCACTGAGAACGCCCAGGCAGTTCAAATGATTTTTGGGGGAATATGTTGAATGCACTGCAGAAAAAAAAAAAATTCAGCATTTGTAATATTTGTAAGAAGGGCATTTGATACTGAGGGGCATGGTGACAAGGTGGCAGGCATGTACCACCTGCCCACAGCTAACAGGCAGACTTTAACAGCCAGTCAGTTACATAGCAGTGGCGAGCCTGACACAGTAGCCTAGTGGCTAAATCCTCTCCTTGAATGCCTAGGATCCCACATGGATGCTGGTGTGTGTCCCAGCTGCTCCACTTCCATCCAGCTCCCTGCTTGTGGCCTGGGAAAACAGTCAAGGATGGCTCAAAGCCTTGGGAACCCACTCCTGCGTGCGAAACCCGGAAGAAGCTCCTGACTCCTGGCTTCGGATCAGCTTAGTTCTGGCTGTTGCAGTCACCTGGGGAGTGAATTAGTGGATGGAAGATCTTCCTCTCTGTAAATCTGATCTACCTTTCCAATAAAAATAAAATGAATCTTTCAAACAGAAGAAAAGCACTTCAGTGAGGATGACGAGCCACTGGCTCTCGGAAAGCAGGGACTGTTCCACAGGGCTCCCCGAAAAAAGGTACCCGACACTTGGGGGGGGGGGGGATGCTCGGTCCTGTGCCAACCAGAATCCTGGGCACAAGGGGGCCAAGGACACGGGAAATGCAGGGAAAGTTGATTAGGAAGCTAAAGCCAAGTTTGATACTGAATAATAATAATAATAATGATGAAAAGTGGTGGACAGTTCGTACCACGTGAGATGGCACTCACCCAGAAGGTTCAGCACTAACTGCTGGGTGGGGGCAAACGGATCCTGCAGGTTAAACGCTGTGTACCGGCTGTACTGAACCTGCCGCAGGGCCTCGAAGTTGCCCAGGAGAATGTCGCCAAGCCACTGAGCGTTTACACAGGGAATCCTCCACTCTTTGGCTTTCTCATACTTTAAACCCGTTGGTCTGTTTTGGCGTTGAGGAGGAGAAAACACATTTATTAAATGTTAGAGCTGTCTACTGTCAAAAATCTACATTACTTTTCAACAAAACCCAATTAAAATGCTTCGTCATAACAGAAATGGCAGGCGTGTCTTAGCCAAGTTGCTGCTAATCCCGAACCCATCACTAAATGTACACAGCAGGGGTCGGTATGGATCGTCAAACCATCCACTAGTCCCACTTTTATCTATTTCTGTTCTTGAATTCTCTTAATTCAAATTTCATTAACTCCTCTAATTCACGTTCCAGGTATTTCTACTAACGTTAACATTATCATTTACTTAAAAATCTTAATTTTTGCACTCAAAGTTCTACCACAAAACTAGGACAAAGTGAGAGATACAGAAGTATTGAAATGGTCACTATAAATTACAATTTTGCTTACTATGAGGCTGATGTTGTGGCACAGCTGGCAAAGCCACCATGTGCAACGCTGGTATTCCATTTAGGTACAAGTTTGTGTCCCAGATAATCCAGTTCCCATCCAGTTCCCACCTAAGGAGCCTGGGAAAGCAGCGAAAGAGGGCCCAGTGCCTGAGCTCTTGCACCCAAGTGGGAGCCTCAGAAGAAGCTCCTGGCTGGTGACAGCAGCTGCACATAGTCTGCGCAGCCACTGGGGAATGAATCAATGCAGATTCTCTCTCTCTCTCCCTCTCTCTCTCTCTCCCTGCTCACTCCGACCAGAACGACAAGGACCGGCTTACTCTTTGCAGATGAGCACCGTGTTGCTGCGGCACAGATAGCCGGTGTATTTGGCACCTGCCAGGTATGCCATCAGCTTCAGGTCGTCTCTGTCATTATCAACAAACCCAGTTACAGAAATAATCTAGGGGGAAAAAGGACAAATAAAGGAAAAAGAAAAGTTATGCACAAGTACCATGTCTATCAGCTTCTCAGTTGTTTTATACATAGATATTGCCATGGTTTAATGAACGCTATGGAACACATATCACTCCTGAGAAAGTCAAGGCCAGAACTGTAGCAATGGTGAAATATCACACACAGATCTCCTGCAGGAGGAAAAAGATAAAGACACCGAATCTAGAAGCACCTGAATGAGCTTCAGGACACTGCTCAGAGAACCGCTGGTCGCTTAGCTGAGCAAATAAACATCAGTGAGTTCTTTCTCTCCTTACTGATTTCCAAGTTTGAGTCATTTGGGAAAACCCAACAGCTACTGACAGAGTTGTGTTCACCAGCAGGTGCCTCTGTTGAAAGAGCCCCGATTTCTTTTCAGATTTTAAATGGCGTCAAAGGTTTTGGAAATACCATGCAATTAGAGCTAACTACAGAAAAACGGGGCCTTTGAGAAGGGAGTAACAGGAAGGAAATCAGAAATCCTTACGCTTTGCACTTAAAATCAGGGTCAAACCACACAGACGCTGATGCAGTGCAGAAGGTGGCGAATGAAGCCACCACCATTTACCAAAGCAGAAGGATTAGAAACAGAACGAAGTACAGCCACAACAGGGCAAGAGGACTCGGCCTACATGCTGCGAACACGGTTTTCCTCCTGGCGGGAAGGCCACTGGGAAGTGCAGGGCGCGATGAGGGGGCACCATCTTCTTCTTCTTCAGGACGGTGTTCAGCCAGTGTGCGGTCACGCATCTCTTCCTCTCTCTTATTGCCTAAGAAAATAAAATTAGCTTGTCATTTTGTTCATTTGGCAATTGTGAAGCTGTACGACTCCAATGCCACCGTTCTGCAGGCCTATCACTGAGAATCCCATGCCATTTAGTCTAGGATGAACTAAAGTAACCAACTACATCAGATGGCCGGGTGGTTGCTTTTTTAACACAATCCCAAAATGGCGTATCTTTCTGTGAATAAGAATCTGTAATGGGACACAAAAACTTTTATAACAACCTTAAAAACCACTCGAGTCATGAATGACCATTGGAAGGCCAGTGTGGTGGTGTAGTGGATTACACTGGCGCCTGGGGTGCTAGCCAACCCTTACGGCAGCACCAGTTCCAGTTCTGGATATTTTATTCCCAATGTAGCCTCCAACTAATACACCACGGGAAGCAGAAGACAGCTCAAACACTTGGACCCGCCATCCACGTGGGATGCCAGGATGGAGTCCCTGGCTCCTGGCTTTGGCCCGGCCCACAGCTGATTTCTGCAGTAATTTGGGGAGTGAATGAGCAATGCAGCCTCTTTCTCCCTCTCTCTTTCTTCCCCCCTTTCTCTCTGCTGTACTGACTTTCCAATAAATATATAAACGAACATTCAAAAAAAATAAAACTGACCGTAAAGACAGAGGCCCCACATAAAAGTCTAAAAAAAAAAAAAAATCACCATTCTCCTACAATTAACTCTATGATAAAGTTTCAAAGCATTTCTAGCCTTTTACTTGAAAAGTAGAACCAGTAAATGGAAATCCGAAGAAGGGTTTCTCAAAAGTCATGTGTTACATGTACATTAACGTCAGTCTGTCCGTATATAAGACCATCTTTATGAATAAGAGGAGGCGGCGACACTGACTGTTTTAGAGCTGCCCGGCCGGCAGCGTGTCCCATTAGGCCCTTCTGTGCGAAGTCCAGAGACAGAGTAAGATCCTTCCTCAGCCCACACTTGCCCATGTCTGCTTTGATACGTGATTGCGAGCGGCGTCTTTTTAACGCTAAAGGGGAAATTTTCTTTCTCTATTACTCAAATGGTTTCACAAAAGTTATCTGTCCCAATCAGGGCAGCTGTGATGGTGCAACCAGCTAATCCTCCACCTGCAAGTGCCAGCAGCCTATTTGGGTGCCAGTTCTTGTCCCAGCTGCTCCACTTTCCATCCAGCTGCCTAACTTTGGCCTGGGAAAGCAGAGGATGGCCCAGGTCCTTAGGACTCTACACCCACACTGAACACCCAGATTAAGATCCTGACTCCTAGCTTCAGATCAGCCCAACTCCGGCCACTGCAGCCACTGGGAAGTGAACCAGTGGGTGGGAGATCTTTCTCTTTTTCTCCCCTTCTTTCTATGACTCTGCTTTTCCAGTAAAAAAAAAAAAATTAATTAATTAGCTAACTAATTTTTAAAAAGAATCACCTTATTTTTAAAAACAATAGCTGGGCCCAGCGGCGCCATGGCCTAGCAGCTAAAGTCCTCGCCTTGAACGCCCCGGGATCCCATATGGGCGCCGGTTTGAATCCTGGCAGCTCCACTTCCCATCCAGCTCCCTGCTTGTGACCTGGGAAAGCAGTCGAGGACAGCCCAAAGCCTTGGCACTCTGCACCCATGTGGAAGACCTGGAAGAAGTTCCTGGATCCTGGCTTTGGATTGGCATAGCATCGGCCGTTGCACTCACTTGGGGATTGAATCATCGGACGGAAGATCTTTCTCACTGTCTCTCCTCTTCTCTGTATATCTGACTTTCCAATAAAAATAAATCTTTAAAAAAATTTAAAAATAAAAATATAAATAAAAACAATAGCCACTAAAATCTTCAGATGCTCTATACAAAGGGACAGGCTTTGTGCTCACCTGTGCGTACACGCTACTGACTTGGCTCTCACAGAGCAGGTGTGTGCATCGGCTTGTGAACGTGGGGTCCACAGCGCCACCGTGGGCCTGGATTATCTACACAACAGAATCAAACAAGGAAGCCATCAGTCCACAATGCAGTTCATGATAAATGTTATTTCAATAAGACAGCTATCAAAAGAACCCACCACATATTTATACTGATTTTTCCAAGTTATGACAGATAGGTTACCACAGTATTTATACAAACTTTCCTACCCAGCACTGTAGACATTCCTATCCAATACTGGAGGGCCTGGGTTCAAATCCCGGATTTGCTCCCGATTGCAGCTTCCTGCCAACGCAGCCTAGGAGCTTGCAGATGATGGCTCAGGTACGTGGGGGCCCGTCTCCTACAGATCTGAGAGTTTCTGGCTCTTGGCCTTAGCCTGGCACCCAACCCTAGCTACTGCAGGCACTTGGGCTATTCCAGCAGACAGGAGTCTGCATTTCAAAAAACAAAACTGAACTAAGGCAGTATTTGTTCATGTATTTTCTTAATCCCGCATGCCATTTTTTTTATTTTTTCCTTCTGGAATCCTACCTGCTGGTTCCAAGTACGGCTGCCATCTAGTGCCATCCCAAATCTTTGGGATTTCCTTTCACTTCCACCCTTGGAATAACCGCTCCATGTCTGCACATCAGATCCTCTATTCAGTGCCTACCAGGTCACACTCCTGATTACTGCACTGGCTTCTCACGTTAGGGCACCCGAGTGGCAAATTTCTGACAGCAGAAATCTGAAAATATTTTAACCCTTAAAGTCATATGGGCGAAACACATTTTTCAATGTTGAATGTTATTTTTCTTCAGTTTAAAAAAACACTATTCAATCGTCTCTTGGCTCCCATATTTTGTATTTGAGATGCTGAATATCTTTGGAATTTAGTACAGTGGTTAAGTTGCTCTAATATCACTCACTTTGGCCCACATGTTCATCCCACTCAATTATATGAACTAGTAAAAAGAAAATTTTAAATTAAAAATACCACTCTTTTCAGCTTTTTGTAAATTTGGAGACACAGGTCCTTCAAATTATAAGCTACTTTCTTCAATAATTTTCTTTCCTTCATTTTTTCTGTTCCCAAATGTGTATTCCATTGTGGCCACTTGAGGAGGGAACCAGCACAAGGAAGACCTCTTTATCTGCAATTGTGCTTTTCAAATAAATAAACTTTTGGAAGAAAATAAATATTTGCTATTGTGATTCTCCGAAACATCTCCCTCTTCCCCCATGCTGTCCAAGCTTTATTTATCATCATCATCTCTAACTGGTCACAGCACAATCTTCTTCCTGTCGCCCCCTCAACAGCAACAGACCACTCTGCCCCACCCCTTCCCACAGGTTTTAAAGACTCCAGGGAGAAAACGCCAAACCCCTTAACAGAGAATAGAGGGAATGTCTTCATGGACTTTCACAAATGCCAGCGGGCAGTGTCTATCGTTCATCGCTGCCAGCCACACTGTGGTCCTCTCCTGTCTTCTTTGGTCTGGCTGGACAATCTTTCCTCCAAGCCTCACTGCTACATCTCCTTGGGACTCAGTTCAGGAATCCTCCCTTCCTAAACAGTGTAACACACCCTTTCTGACCACACAGGCTATAATGTCTCTTCTCGGGCTCGCATAAGGACCTGGGCCACCTCTGCGGGGCAGTGACACACTGCACAGGGACAGTCTGTTGTACTGGTCGGATCACGAACTCCGTGTATCCCTCTGCATTCACTGCATCGTGCAGCGCGCCTGGCACACAGTCAGGATGCTTGCAGGGGAAACACAAAGTTAGCTCTTGTTAAAATAAAAAAACAAAGACTTAGCTTTGATTTGTGATACAGCAAGAAAGCATTCACTTCTAGAAGCTACGTGTTTAGCAAAAGGACTAAAGCTAGATATGTAGAATAGACCAGTTAAATCAAGTTAAAATAATAAATGGGCTCTAGCGCAACAGGGATGACGTACAGTCCTTTTTTACTTAGAGATTTTAGGTTTTCTAACATTTAGGAGAAAGAAAAATGATTAAGTCATACAAGCTGATAGTTCTCTTCCTATGTTTTTAGAATGTTTATCTTGTTGCCATGCCCGTAATCATACATAAATAAGTGTCCCTTTGACTTTCTGAAAGACTCTTGACAGAGTAAATTTCACCTATTGCTTCAGCCGGGAAAACTGAAATCTTAGGAACGGGACTTGCCTAAGTCCCTAAGGTCAAGGAGACAGTCCTGGACAAGGCCTAACACACTGAGGACACTGAGGACAGACCAAGGTAGCCCAACACAGCCAGATCTCCACCCAACAAGGAACATCTCCAGAGCTCTCCACTTCTGCAAGGCCTCACCCTTTTCCAAGTGGCCAGCAACTGTTTGTCAGACATTTGCTCTGGATAATCCGCAATTGCAAACACACACCCCAGCAAGAAGCCTTCTTCTGGAACTAGAACAGGACAATGCAAGAAAAGGTAAGTTGAAATTCTGTGAATATGCATGTCCCCATAATCTAACAGCATCTGAATTTAATCAAGCTAATTGGTCTCAAGAATTATGTTGAGTGCATTTGGGAATGTTCACACAAATATACCGGTTTGATTATGTATACTAAGAAATTATTAAAAACTAAAACCAACGTAGTTTATGCCAGACAACTAAACATGGAATTAGTGCTACCTGGCAGCCTCTTTGTTCTATGGAACAAATCTATCCTTTGGTATACAATGCCTCAAGGTACGAAGGACAGTAAGTGCCTCGTAACATAGGAGTCCCATTCCCTACCTCGTAGTAACTATTTCATACGGATCCTTGCCCCCAACCCCCTCACATACTCCTCACACATTTATATAAGATTTTCAGGAGAAAGAAAAGATAAATTCCAGTTACTAACGCTCCACTGCTGGATCATGTCCAAACAGCTGATGATGCTGTGGGGGCTGCGGCTGGGGCGGCTGGGGCTGCGGAGGTGGGACCTGATGCTGTAGTGCCTGGGATGTCTGACTCAAGTGTTGTGCTGCCTGATTTTGCATGTGCTGTTGCTGTTGCTGTTGTTGTTGTTGTTGCTGCTGGTGTAGGCGCTGCAGCTGCTGCTGCTGCTGCAGCAAGCTATGCTGCTGCTGCTGCTGCTGCAAGTGTGCCAGCTGCTGTTGCTGCAGCTGCTGTTGCTGCAGCTGCTGCTGCTGTAGCTGCTGCAGCTGCAGGGCATGCGGCTGATGGAACGGCTGTAACTGCTGCTGAGGCCGATGCAGCTGCTGCTGAGGATGCAGCTGTTGCTGTGGAAACTGGAGCTGTTGCTGTGGAAACTGATGCTGATGAACTTGCTGTGGCTGCTGTTGTGAGAAAGGATGCGGCTGTTGCTGGGGGTAGGGCTGTTGCTGAGGGATCTGTTGCTGCTGCTGCTGCTGCTGCTGTTGCTGCTGCTGCAGCTGCATGATTTGCTGGGGCTGGAGATGCAGAAGCGGCTGCTGCTGCGGGTGCTGGGGCTGGTGGTGCTGTTGGAGCATCTGCGTCTCGGGCCCGCCTTTCATCTGCCCGAATAGCACTGCAGTGGCGTTGGCATGGCCCTGCTGGCTGTGGTTCACCTGCTGCTCTAAATTTTTTGTGGGTGCAGAGAGGGACTGTAAGATCTAGAAAACAGGAGGTAGGTAAAGTCATTAGCAATAATTACATGTAATATTAGTTGCTTAAGAGAACAGCACACCCCATCGACACAAACACTCCACCTAGCAGAAGCACCAAGTGACTGGACACTTCACAAATAACATGGCATCCTTCCTGCTGATTTTCTTTGTAACTTTAACAAGGCAACTGAATCAATTCGTGTTTTTAATTTATTTAAAACTTGTAAGTCAAACTGAACAAGCTCATGAATGAAAGATGACACATGGAAGAACTCACGCTTGCCGTGTACTCAGCAGCAGTCACGGACAGCGAGAGCATTCCTCTGGGAGCCCGAGTCCTGGTGCCCCCTGCACTGTGCTGTGTGAGCAGCATCTCCCCTCGCCCGTCTCCCTTCCTCCAGCTGCACTTCCGCACACCACGGAGTGCTCAGGGAAACAGTAAGCGGCAGCCACACCGAGCAGTCTCCACTTCCACCTACCTTACGGGCCCAGAGTCCAACGAGGAGAGGTCCCTAGGAGCCCCTTCCGAGCTACAGTACCAGCAGCAGCTGAGACATGAGCCTAGCCCAGCAAGGCCCATCTGTGCCCATCCTCCGCTGCCCGTCAGGGCAACCCTACTCCGTGCGGTGGGTGTACTACATCAAGGTTAAAAACATAGGCATTCCATCAACTAAAAAAAAATCATTATTCTAACTAGGAAATTCTCACTCTTCAAAAAGTTACAATCAGTTCCTTATGATCACGGAAACCATTAGAAAAGATTTAACTAAGAATTAATAAACTTCACCCTATTTTAATATCTTGAAAGCATTTAAATAAAACCCTAGAAATTCTAATTTAATATACGTCAAGAGCCACACAAAAATTTCTATTGTTTATTCTCCACTTAAATATACTTCAAAATAACAGGTTTTGGGTTTAATAAGATAATTGAGTTTAAAGATGACATCAAATTCCATAGCTTGGACACACCTGTCTTTGAAATCACCCTGAAGACAAACCCTCTGTAAAGATATTCAATACTTCAGAAACACATCAGTTGCACTCTAAGCAGAAAAACTTTTTTTGAACAAATTTAATAATAGAATGATTTCTTCTCTACGCTTAGAAGCATTTTAGAAAGTAAACTTGAGAGGAAACGAACACCTCCACACACTCCCCCAAGCACTGGGCAGCATCTGTATGTCCACAAGTACAGAAAGGCAGGGGTGGAGGGTAGGCGTGGGGAAGACACCTGCCCACACAACAAAGGGGTGGGGAGGCCTCTGAAGAGTTGGGGATAGGAAGCAGTTTAATTTTCACTCTCTATGCTTTGGTATCATTTGATTATTTTTTATGTTGCACTATATATTTTTTTCAGCCCTCAGAACTCAACACAGGGAGCAGCATTTAGTGTAGCAGTGAAGATGTTGCTTCCAGCCGCAGGCTGGCTCAGCCCAGGCGGGTGTGTCACCTGGGGAGTGAACAGACAGACAAAATTCTCTCTTTCTACGTCTTCTCTCTGCCTCTCAAATAGAATTCTTAAAAAAAATAGTAAACAATAAAAATTTGATGGGTCCTAAGGAAACAAATGCCAGTCAGCCTTGGGTCAGAGTCATGGCCACAGCCAACCTAGTCTGTTAGAGATCAGAGAAGCAGGTCAACAGCCACAGCCGGAATGGAAATGGCCAGTGGCCTGGGATACTCTGTAGCTACTCAAGGGTGGGGACATGAGGCACAGCTAGGTTGGCAGAGGAAGGCACCTGACAGCTAGTCACCCTGTTAGAACACCCACTGCCCTTCTCAGACCACTTTCTTCAACCCTCTTCTCTGCCGCCTGTTAAACACATAAATTAACCCTGAGAAATGCAAGAAAAAAACAATAACTGCTGTTAATTATTTGGTCACGTAACAAACAGCAACCTGAGACTCTTACGTGCTTGGTCACAACTGCTCTGCCACAGAGCAAAACAAACTTCGAATCACTATCAGATATGAATTACTGTTCCACCACAGCTGCTCCAACACATGTAATACTGAGTGCCACAACTTATAAACATGATGATACGTACCACGTGGTATCTAGCTACCACCAAAGTACAACTTCAACAGGATTTTCATGGTCAACTCTGTTCTCACCAAACGTTAAACTAAATCTTTCAACATTTTGAGTAGACATTTTTTTCCTGGAACTCGGTGGACCCTTCCTGGTTTCCACCTCTAGAACACGCAGCTGAGCCTCAAGCTGCTTTCCCAAAAACTACTTCAACAGCAGAGCTGGGCCCACCTCCCTGGCGTAGTCACTCCTATGCAGTCAAAGGGGATTACTGTTTCTTGGTATACAAATAGGCATCTTCGCATTCAAGCCAATCCATTCTCTACAACTGGAAAACGTGAGGCAGTAAGGATGACATATCCCACACTGCCAACAATAACAATGTTTCCTTTAAATGGGTCACTTCTATCCATAATTTCTCAACTGCTAAAAGGAAAAGCATTCCTCAGGCTGCCACAGGTTCTCTCCATGGTGTGCAATTCTCACAGCTACACTGCTGAGCTTAGGCCTCACACTTCTTCCAGTTTCCTACAGGACAGGTCTCCCAGACGGCCGAGATCTCACCAGGACTACTCCACCTCTATATGTTTCTTCTTTCTTAGATTTTGAAGCAAGATTTACTTACGCACTTAAACGACAGTTACGCAGGGCTGGCACCATAGCACAGCAGACTAAGCCTCTGGTCCAAGTCCTGGCATCTCCATTTCAATCTAGCTCCCTTTAACAGCCTGGGAAGGCAGCAGAGAAGGGTCTAATTCCTGGGGCCCCTAGACGCACGCACGAGACCTGGAAGAAGCTCCTGGCTCCTAGCTCCAGACCAGCCCAGCTCTGGCCGTTGCAGCCACTTGGGAAGTAAACCAGCACATGGAAGCTGCCTCTGTATAATTACCTTCAAATAAAAAATAAGTAAATTTTTTAAAAATTTAAATAAGTCTTTTTTTTTTTAAGAAAGAATAAAGGAGAGAAAGAAAACTCGGATCCACCTGTTTACCTCCCCAAATGGCTACAACAGGGCTGGGTTAGGCAAGGCCAGACAGAAGCCTAGAGAGCGCCATCTTTGTCTAGCATGCAGGTGGCAGGCACCTCAATACTTGCCATTTGGTGCTACTTTCCCAGGCACAGCAGCAGGTGGCTGGATCAATAGATCCCAGGAAACAGCTTAACCCACCATACCACATTGTCCCAAATACTCCATCTACCTTCAAAACTCCCTCTCTGGGGTGGGTCACTAGTCTTTGATAGTCACAGGTTAAATCTTTTTTTTTTTTTTAATTTATTTTATTTTTATTGGAAAGGCGGACATACAGAGAGGAGAAACAGAGAGGAAGATCTTCCATCCAACGATTCACTCCCCAAGTGAGCGCAACGGCTGATGCTATGCCGATCCGAAGCCAGGAGCCAGGAACTTCTTCCAGGTCTCCCACATGGGTGCAGGGTCCCAAAGCTCTGGGCCGTTCTCGACTGCTTTCCCAGGCCACAGGCAGGGAGCTGGATGGGAAGCAGGGGCGCCGGGATCAGAACGTGCGCCCATATGGGATCCCGGGCGTACAAGGCGAGGACCTTAACCACTGTGCCACCGCGCCGGGCCCAAGGTTAAATCTTTAGAATCCCCTTCCTCTAGCCCGCCACGCTTCCTGTCTGCCATGACCTCCTCAGGCTTGGCAGCACTGTCTTCTGAAACCTCTGCTCTGCTGAGATACAGCCACGTGGCTTTGTCACTGCTCTCCTGGACAGCAGGTGGACAGCACCTGCAGGCCTGAAACGCACTGACATTTGTTTTTTCCTTGCATGATTTCGTCTCCTCTTCACTCAAGAAGCCGTGTACATATGGGACACCATCCTGGACAAGCGGGGCCATGGAGTTCTACAGCCACCTCAGCCTCACTGGGCACTGCCTTGCTCCCTCAGCCACCCTCTAGAGCAACAGCCAGTCACAAGCACACACGCTCCTGCGGCACCCAGACAGGGAGTGCAGAGTGAAGGAATCAAACAGGGAATCGTGGGAACATAAAGTCCAAGGGTTCTCCCAGCCCCAGAGGACCCTGGCTTGCTTTTAGGACTTCTAGAATGCCAGCCGAAGCTTTGTCGACAAGACAAATCAGACATCAAATTTGTCTGGTCAACCTCATGGTTTGGGCAAGTTAACCAAATCTTTTAACTAATCTGATCAAATTAAGTATCTGGACCGAAATGCATCTTTCATCACCCACAGCTGTTCTATCCCAAACATTGATCACTCAAATATGCCAAAATCTGACCAATCCACTGCTGGCACAACTTTAACAATCTGACACAATCATCTTCACAGAACTGCGCCCCTGGTCTCTCCTCCCTGTGTGGTGGACTCCGTTTTATTCATTATTCCTGTTAACATGCAAAGTTACGGTCACCATCCCACACTGGATTCTAATCATGTCTAGCAATACCGTCTTCTCACCTTTGTCTATTTCAAAACCTTCTCTCCTCCCGGAAATCCTCCTCACTGCCCGTCCTCCCGAGCTGCCACAGGTCCACTCTGCCTCACGCCATCTAACTTGCCTCTTCGAATAGCTAAAGAACTGCATCTTCCATCTTACTCTGAATGCCAAACTGCACGACTCTTCCAATGTGCCGAGCCTCGCCACTTCCTGGCAGCTCCGAGGATTCAGGCTCCCTTCCATTATCCCAGCGCCACTTCGCAACTCGCTGCCAGCCAGGAGAGGAGGGTGAGCTTTCTTCCTCTCTTTGCTCTTTATTCTTCTTTTCCTTCTTTGTTTTCTTTCCCTCTCTTTTTCATTTCCTTCCCCCCAGTTTCCTTTTTTTCTCCCTTTCACTTTTATTTCCCTCCTTTTCTTCTCTGCTTCCCTTTTTTCCTTCTTTCCTTTCCTCCCTTCCTATTCCATTCATTTTGCTGTACATGATAGAATCCCACTGCTTTTCTAGATGAATAAGATAACATTATACATACACACCACGTTCTCTTTATTCATTCGTCTCATGATGAACACCTTGGCTGATTCCACATTTTGACATCGTTACTGTTAACAATGCTGCTATAAACCCGGTGGAGAAGTTAGCTCTTTGATAAAGTTCCTGTCCTTTGGATAAACACGGGAGATTTTTAAGGTATGTGTAACAAATACTTTATTAAACCAATTCCCTTACCATACACAAGAAAAACAGCAATGTTTCTTACTACTACTTCATACCCAGGCCCCGTTTATATTTCCCCATTTCCTAAACATCAACCCCTTCCACTCCAAGCAGGGCTGTGGATTACATCCTGCTTCCCCTTGTTCCTATACTCTACAGACGTTTTCCTGGAACTCTGAATGGTTATTCTAAGAGCAAAAATAGGAAGTGGACATATACCAAACCAAGTGAGTCAACATCCCGGCCCTCATTATCAGACAGACTAGTCCATCTGAGCCGAGAGCGCAGGGGGAGGTTCCTTGCTGTCAGAACACATCCAACAGGAGGTCGCCTCTCCTGCCCAGGAACCCGCACTCGCTGCACGCCTCTGACTCCGCGGGCTCTGCCCCGGCTCCCTTCCCTACCTTACACATCCTTCTCCCCTTCCACAGCGTGAGTCGGCATTGCCCCGGGTTCTAACTCCAGGAAAGCCTTCAACATGACAAACACGTTTCCACTGACCAATCAGATCTGATACTTCAAATCCAACCTATCTGGCAAGGCGCTCAAGTTCTCAACCCTGCAGCTCCTTACACACGGCTCATCTCTGAGGCGGCATCGCCTTCATTCTCCTGCTGCAGCTAGAAAGCTAGGTCCAACCCTGCACTCCTCTCAAACGTCACCTCCCGAAGTTTTTTTAGGGTCTGTTTGCACGCTTCCTCCTCTACAACAGTTCGACATTACAATACCTAGCACATCTCACCTCACCCCTACTCCTTCCTCTGAAGGAAGCTCGCATCCCTCACTACAGCCCTACATTGCAAGATCCCCTTTCAAGATGTCCTGGCGGTCACTCACCCACCACATATAAACCTCATAAAGCACAGCACAGCCATGCTCTACTTCTGCATCTTCCCACCCAGAATGCTCTGCCCCCCATCATTCCTCCAGTCTCTTTTGTCCTTCAGCCCTGATTCAAATCATCCGCCTGACAAGGCGACCCTCAGCACCTGACATGGAAGAGTCTCTTGCTGCCATCAATGGCTTTTAATATGAAGCCTTAGCATTGGCTTCAAATATCTATAACCAGAAGTTCTGTAACCGGGAGAAGTGCTTCTATTCAAATTTGATTGCGCACTGCCTGTTTCTCTACCTACAACAAATGTAATGGGCTTGTCCTTATTTGCCATTTCATCTCTATTGCCCAGAAAAACAGAAACAGCTGCCAATATACATCAACAATCTTCTTTCTGCATGAAGACCTTGTTTATAGTTTGAGAGGCAGTAAAAGACAGACAGGGCTCCCAGCCACTGCACCAAATTCCAAATGCCCACATGCCCACATGCCCACCACGTCCAGGGGATCAAACTGGGAGCTAGGAACTCGGTCCAATCTCCTACATGGACTTCCTGCAGGGGCTCAGTCACTAGGGCCAACACCAGCGACTCCCATAACCCATGTTAACAGGAACCTGCAGTCAGGAACTGCATCCAGGTACCTTTGCGGGATGCAGAAGTCCCCATATGGGGCTTAACCATATGGCCGAACACCTACTCCTATTGAAAAAACAAAACAAAACAAATCCTCTTCTGTATCAACAAGGTATAGGCCATGAATTAGAAAATAAAGGCTTCGATAAATGAATGAACTTCTGTTATGTTGAATGAAGCCTGTTTTAAGGAACAAGGAACAGCTGGTAACTTTAGGCTTCTCCTTGCTACTGCTGCTAAGTAACTGTGTGCAAACCCGTCCTCAAAACCAGCACTCCAGGGACCAGAGCTGGAGCACAGCACACTATCAGTGTCCCAGCCAGTTTTGAGCGCCAGCTGCTCCACTTCCTATCCAGATTCCCGATTATGGTCTAGGAAAATAGCAAAGGTTGGCTCAAGTGTCTGAGTCCCTGCACTCACGTGGGAGATGTGGAAAAAGCTGCTGACTTGGGATCTGCTCAGTTCTGGCCGTTGTGGCCATTTAGGGAGTCGATCAGTTGACAGAAGACCTCTCTAACTCTGTCGTGTGGACCCTGCTTCTACTCAGTTCCGTTAGGCCTTCTATCTGAGCGCTTCTATCAATGAGCGCTTCCACAGCAGAAACTGACACTCAATACACGGACAGACACACACACATACTCACAAATAGCCTGTAAGCTACGCGGGTCTGAAGAGCCAGAGACAAGACCCGTACGTTGTATTGAAACAGACTGCGAAACTCAATTCTAAAATACACTAGTGAAATGTTTGCTCCTTAGAGAGTGACTTACATGTGCTACGTTTGAAGGTCGGTTAAGCTGCTGAATGTCAGCATTATTAGTGATATTTCTCAATGTCCGCACAGCTGGATTCCAAGTAGCTAGCATTTGTGATCTTTCAGAACTTGGGAGATTCTGTCCAGAAGCCATTAAGTTACCCCGGACGTCAGGAGGCACAATGTTACCTGGGGCAGGCGGGACATTGGCACACAAGTTAATCAGGCCAGGCTCCTTTCCCTGAGGCAGCCTGCGCTTGGCTACAGCCAGCTGCGGGACTTCAGCTGGGGTCCAGTTTAAATTTCGCTCTTGTTTTTCAGGTGACGAATCTGAAGAATCATCAAACATCAGCTCTCCTTTAGACTTCTCCGTGTTTGACTTGGGGGAAAACGGTTGCTCCCTGGCAGGAGACCCTTCCTGCGAACTGGCGGGGCTCGACTTCTCATCTGTGCTGCCCTCGTTGGGCGACTCTTGCTCCTCATTCTCCACTTCTTCCTCCTCTTCTTCCTCCTCCTCTTCTTCATAAATAATCAGACGAGGATGATAAGAGGCTTCATCCTTTCTGGTTTTTTCAGATATGCAATCCAGGACCCAGTCAGGAGTCACAATTTTAATACTTGCTCGCTTTAAAGCATATTCATATTTCTCCTGCAAGTTAAGCGGAAACACAAACATACAAAACGGAGATGTTAGGTCCATAAATAAAGATGAACCCGACAGCACTGACGTTAGGAAAAACTCGTGCCCGCCACAGCAACGCTTATTTTGTTTAAAGTAACATTCATCTGAGACATGGAGACAGAGATCCCGTTCATCAAGGCTCTCGCTGCCCGGGGCTGGAGCCAGGAAATCAGAACCAGCCAGAGCATCCTCAAGAGGCAGCAGGAACCCAACTACCAAACGCCTCCTACAGTCTGCATGAGCAGGAAGCTGAAATCCGGAATGAATGGGGGGAACCTAATCTGAGTGAGTGTCAGCCTGGGCCACAAAGCCCAACCCATGCACATTCAAATACAGCAGCAGAGCTAGGATCCTTGTGGGAAAATGGAAAGTGAGGAGCTGATATCTAAGTCTGTGTTTACCGATGGTTTTCATGAAGCTGGTTAGCTACACCAGATGTATTTTAAGTATTATCTTCAGCATGTCCTCCAAAGTGACTGAAAGGTAGCTGACGTGGTAGGAAAGACTTCTGGCTGGTGTTTTCTGAGTCTGCAGATATGCCAAGTAACAATAAGGGTTGGAGACACACCGGCTATACAGCAAGCCTCCGGATTTAACAAGGTTCGCAATCTAGCTCTACGCGAGAAATTAACCACGTATTGAGACATGTGAGGAGTGCTAACAGGCAGAGGGCTCTCCCCCCAGAAAGGGTTTAGGACTAAAAAAAAAGAAAAGAAAAGAAAAAGAGAGAAATGAAAAATTTTATATCGAATAACACAAATAAAATAGCCTTAAAATGAGTTTGGGGGCTGGCATTGTGGAACAGCAAATCAAGGTGCCACCTGCAATAGCAGTATCCCATAGAGGCACCAGTTCATATCACGGCTGCTCCATTTCTGAGCCAGTTCCCTACTAAGGTGCCTGAGAAAACAGCAGAAGAGGGCCCAAGTGCTTGAGCCCTGCTCCCACACAGAGCTTATCCCAGAAACCCAGAGGAAGCTCCTGGCTCCTTCCTGGCTAGCTCCAGGCACTGTGGCTGTCTGGGGAGCGAGACAGAGAATGGAAGCCCTCTCCTTCTATAACTTCATATTTCAAATAACTTTATATATAGATTTAAAAAAAAAAACAAAATAAGTAGATGGATTCATAAATTTGGCTCAGATAACTAATACAGTCTTACTCATCTGCTTCTTTTAAAAGCCTGTTGTTTGGCAAATACAAACTTGGGACCAAGAAGGCACTTGCAGCTTTTGGTCCAGTTTATGAATGGGTTAGGCTCCCATTCAACGGGAGAGAGAATAAACCTGGGAGACTTATCTCCTGGGAAGCAGCAAGCTCCACAGAAGTGGGATGTGTCCTTTGTATTACTAAGGATGTTCCTTCTAAACCTTTGTAAGATACAAGTAAAACACACAGCAATGAACAAGAGGCTAAGCAAAGGATACGATCATGGTGGTAACCACATTGGGACCACATGAGCATTTCCAGTGCCCAGCTGTAGTTACTTTTGTAATAAATATACGTAAGAATGGTAAAGGGAAGAACCGTATTATCACAAAATTTAACCAGGTACTTTTTCAACCTAAAACATGGAGAACTGTCCTTTTGTGTCCTTCATATACATATATTGAAGCTGGCACCAATATTTTAACTTTTTTAAATGTACATTTTCACAAAGTTCAAAGTTCAAAGCCCAGTACATCCCCTAACCCATCACCCAGCTCCAACCACAGCAAATCTGGCCTCATCCATCTTCTGACTGTTTCTTTCCTGTTGTTAAACTAGTTTTTTTTTTTTTCCTTTATCCCATTTGTGGTACTCAAAGCACTCAGTCTTTCTTTCATTTATTTGAAAGGGAGAGAGCGAGCCACCATCTTCTGGCTCATTTTCCAAATGCTAGCAACAGCTGGTGCTGGGTCAGAAGTCAACCTCCCGGAACTCAGGAGTTCCCACGTGGGAAGTAGAGACATGGTAATGGAGCCATCCATCACCGGCTGCCTCCCGGGAGAAGTACAAGATAGCTGGATGGGAAGGAGAGCCAGGATTCGAACATAGGGTGCTGGGATCCCAAGCAGCTACTTAGCCATTATACCAAATGCCTGCTTTATTTATATATCTGATAGCTACCTGAAGCCACCCATTTAAGCCACCTATTACCATGCCCAATAAAATGAACCACAATACATCTCCTACTCGGGCTTTCTTCAAGTCTCTCCAAGAGCCTCAAACACCTTATCAAGTTAGAACACAACAGTTCTAACTTGAGGGTGTTCTTTCTTTTCCGAGTTAGATAATTTAATCGATTACTTAATGTCAGTCATGTAGTTATTTCTATTGTTTTCTATTCTGAAAACCTAGTGTTAAATTTTGTGGGGCCAGGATTGTGGTACAGCACTTTAAGCCACCACCTGCAGCACTGCCATCTTACATGGGTACAGGTTTGAGTCCTGGCTGCTCTACTTTCTATCCAGCTCCCTGCCAATGCATTTGGGAAAGCAGTGGAAGATGGTCCACATGCTTGGGCCTCTGCACCCATGTAGGAAACGCAGAAGCTGTTCCTGGCTGTTGATTTTGGCCTGGTCCAAATGATCACATCTGGTCTTCCAAGTGGTGCAGGGCCCAAACACTTGGCCATCTTCTGCTGCGTTCCCAGGCACACAAGGAGGAGCTGGACTGGTAGTGGACAGCCGTGACTTGAACCACTGCACACGTAATGTGTCAGCACTGCAGGCAGAAATTTAACCCACTGCATGACAACGCCAGGCCCCAAAACTCTTAACTTCTTCAATACATTTTAAAACTTATGCCTGAATATGTTATAAAGTGTAGTAACATAAAGAAAGGAATAACTGAACCAGACTCTTTTGGATATGATTTCAAAATATTGTGGTAATTTAATTATGTGAACCACAGAGAGAAGCACGAGTCAAGAATATAATTGCTAATTATAACTTACGTTAACTTAAAACCATGCTGGTTTTAGAAACCAGCTCACCTGAGATTACCGCTTCTCAGCCTCTGGGCTGTGAAGCAGGAGAGGAGGGAGGCAGGCTGTCTCTGGGCCGTGATGCAGGAGAGGAGGGAGGCAGGCTGTCTCTGGGCCGTGATGCAGAAGAGGAGGGAGGCAGGCTCAAGGGGGAATCGATGCTCTCTGAGCTGACCAGAGCAGGGCACACAGGCGACCGTGAGCCAACAGAAACACGACACAGCAGACAGCATGCCTCTGTGAGCTGCTTACAATTAACCTCTTAATTCAGTGACCCTGAAGAGGAGCTGTTACCACTGCGCAGTCCTGAACAAAGCTGAGAGGAGGACGGGGTGCCCAGGATGCCAACCATCTCAATGCCAAAGGCAATACTACCTGGTCAAATTAAACTCAAAACAACATTCCAAATACTCACGTGGAAAACCATACAGTGTTTTTTTTTTCAAGTAAGCACTTACAAAAAAACATAAAAATAATTCTTACCAAAGAAAAAAAAAACCTACTAAAATTTGGCCACTCATTTTTTGGGTCATCCTGCACTGCTTTCCCAGGCCACAAGCAGAGTATGACAGGAAGCTGAGCAGCTGGGACACAAACCTGCACCCGCTTGGGATCTCAGCACATGCAAAACAAGGATTTAGCCACCAGCACACCAAGCCGGGTCCTGGTCAATCATTTTTTAAATTGAATTTATTCTCCCGCCAACTGATTTCCCCTCAACAGTAACAATGGTATAGTCTTTCAACAGCAGACACAAGTCCATTTTCTGCTATCTAAGCGTATCCTGACATTGCAGTTATAGACAATGGTAGAAAGTCCAATATCCTACTGTCAAGATATATTTAACAGCTTCATTAGGTGTCCATCTTTAATTCAGAAGTAGAGACGTATATTGCAACGTATCTTCACTTCCCGGTATGCTAGTTTCCATTATAGAGTTCCTCTTGATGAATATATTTACATACATGTTTATCTATATATCACAAATAAATCTTTAAAAATTAAAAAAAAAAGTTGAATTTATTGGTAAATGTCACTAAACATACCAATATCACTTACGATTTCTGTGTCATAATTACACAAGACACTGGTAATTTCACGATCACTCTTAGAAACATGCACTTTTGTTGCACATTTATAAATGTCTTATTATTTAATTACCTTCTAGAATAGTTGTGCTTGATTAATCAAAATCCTATGTATTTCTCATTAAAATCACCTTTAAAAAAAACTATCCCAACAGGGCCTGGCACAATGGCTCAATGGCTAACTCCTTGCCTTGCGAGTGCTGGGATCCCACACGGGTGCCAGTTTATGTCCTGGATGCTCCACTTCGCATCCAGCTCCCTGCCTGTGGCCTGGAAAGCAGTGAAGGACGGCCCAAAGCCTTGGGACGCTGCAGCTATGTGGGAGACCCGGAAGAAGCTCCTGGCTCCTTTCCAGCTGTCGCGTCCACTTGGGGAGTGAATGATCGGACAGAAGACCTTTCTCTCTGTTTCTCCTTCTCTCTGTAAATCTGCCTTTCCAATAAAAATAAACAAAAGTGAATGAATAAATGATGAATCTGGAAGACTGGCACTCATCCCAGGAGTCAAGACACCTGTGTGCCGTAGCACATGGGCTCGGGCTCCTGACGACACTTCCTGTCGGTGCACTGCAGGCTGCAGTGACGGCTCAGGCCTGCGGGAGACCAGACTGAAGCCCTGAACAGGCGCCCCTGCTGACGCGTGGAGTTCCAAGAGGTGAAGGAGGGTGCAGGAGCAAGCACTCTGTCTGTCTGCCTCTTAAAATAAAATGTTACTAAGTAAAATACTTTTAAAAATGCAAGTTTTATTGGGTTTGAAAGTAAATTCTAGGGATTATAAAAACTCCCCTATGGGGCCCGGGGCGGTGGCCCAAGTGGTTAAGGTCCTCGCCTTGCACGCCCGGGATCCCATATGGGCACCGGTTCTAATCCTGGCAGCCCCGCTTCCCTTCCAGCTCCCTGCCTGTGGCCCGGGAAGGCCCCAAAGCTTTGGGAACCTGCACCCGCGTAGGAGACCCGGAAGAGGCTCCTGGCTTCGGATCGGCATAGCATCGGCCGTTGCGCTCACTTGGGGAGTGAATCATCGGATGGAAGATCTTCCTCTCTGTCTCCTCTCTGTATATCTGCCTTTCCAATAAAAAAAATAATAAAAATAAATCTTTAAAAAAAAAAAAAAACTCCCCTATGAGATAAAGCCAAAGTTCTTTGTATTCAGAGGTTGTATTAATAGAATTTGCCACAGTCTTACATCTTTTATGGAGTGAAGCTAGATATAAATAATGCAAACCAATATAAACAGCTTTTATCAAAGAAATTTAATAATTTAGAAGTTCAAAAAAGAAATGGGACTATTGCAAACAATTAGATCTCATGAAACAAGAAGAACGTATATGAAATGCTTACCCCCTTTGGTTCCGGAACAATTAAATGTGTGCATTTCTTATTGAGGTTCAGCTGGCAATCCCCCCCATAGAAAGTAAGCAAAGCCCACAGGGCACTTCTGTCTTCAGAAGACACCTGCACAAAGTTAGAAACAGCTTTATACCATGCGACTCAGACACGTTTACATTTTAACTATTAGAATACACTGTGACATTGTAACAATTTGTGCCTTGTCTATTTCTCCCTTCTTAAATAAAATTAACCTAAGGTTATTTGCAAAACACACACACCCACAGACACACTCAAGCACACGTACACACACACATACAAAGAAGTTTTTAGCAATATGATCAAAATAAAAATTATTCCAATCAAAATACAGCTGTAAATCACTTGTTCTATATTTTGCCTTATCACCAAAGGAATAAAAAAGATTAATATCCACATTCTAAAGACTGGGGTTATTTCTATCCATAACAAAATGATAGGGGGGAAAAGGGCAGAAAGACCCACTATACCACTCCAACTTCCATTTGTCATTGTTCAAAATATTTACGTACAATAGCAATATTGGAGCCATATTAAATAATGGATAACAAATACTAATTAGGCAATGGGTAAAATAAACAGTTCAGGGACAAGCATAAAAACATCATTTAACATACAGAAAAAATATGGCAAGCATAACGGAGTAGTTCTTATGCTTTGGACAGTGATGAAGACTCCAAATGCAATGGCTGATGTTGTAAAACAGGCTTTCTCAGACCAACACGAGCAGCTGCCATTTATTGCCTGCCTACTATGTGCCAGGAACTGTGCCAGTGCTTCCATCATACTCCTGATCCTTGTAATCTGCTATGTGAAAGAGAAATTCTTAGCCTTATTCTAGAGATGAGAAAGCAAACTAAATTTGTACCTAATAAACGGCAAAGCTGCCTTTTAAAACCCACGCTTAATTTCAAAGTCTTTTTCCACTGTTCCAAACTGCTTCCCTAAGGGCAGTGACAATCGGACAGTAATAGTAACTCTTCAAAAAACAAAATTTTGGAACCTGAAAGGCAAAATAAGCATTCAAGAAAAATAAAGATATAAGCATTAGTTCTAAGATAATCACTTAATCAACTGAATTTTTTCTGAATAAATTTATTAGAAGTTGAAGATTATGAATGTTCAAGAATCCTGAACTTGTATCAATTTCTAAATATTTATAAATGGCAAGTTAATTATTTTTAATTGCTAGCATGCAGCTTGCCAATAATCTAACATTCTATAACTACTCTCATCCCTTTTACAAGTATTTCTAGGAATTACTTTGTATTCCACATTATGCTATGAAAACTAACGAGAACAAATTAATTTCCTAAAATCACTTTTAAGATCATTTCATATCTTTAGTAAGTCAATGTCACATTTCAGAAAATTGGACCAGGTTATTTTTCTTAGAGGCTGTCACAAAAACATTTATATCCTGCAGTTTTTGGAGCTGAGATTTAATTATATGATAATATATACTGATCTAACAAATCATACAAATCCTTATTTAAAATGATTAAAAACCATAATCTAGATATGCCTTTATTAGCAAGATCTGGCTACACACCAGCTAAGTATTACATCATTTTACTAAGTGCTGTACACCTAAGTGTACACCTCAACAGGGTGCAGGACACTGTTGTGGAAAGAATATCATCGACCTGGAAAATCTCCCTGACCCAGATTCTTCTCAAAGTGTTAGAACACAGTGACTTCAGATTCCCACACCTGCTCATTGAGGGAATCTGCCTCAACAGAATTAAGAATGCTCTTTCCACACCAAAGTGGTAAGAGGTTTAAGGGAACATTTTTATACTTTTCTGTATTTTCCAAATCCACTAGCTTTATAATTGGGGAAAAAAAAAATGCTGTTTTTCTTTTCTTTCTTAAGCCATCTATCTAAAATATCAACCTTATCATGTTGGCCAAAAAAAAAAAAAAAAAAAAAAAGCTGTGCTATCTCCTCAGTGTTCTAAGGCTAAAACTTAGTAACTGCAACATATGCCAAGGCCCTTCTTGGTACAGGTGGCTTCTGACCTCCTGTCTGTTAGTACCTAGTCCCAGGTGCACGCTGAACTCTAGTGATACCTAAATTCCTTCCTCAAACCCTCTACACTTGCCCTGCACCCAGACCACTCCAGCACTCAGCAACTCCTCCTCTGAGATTCAATTCAGGAGTCATTAACACTGTACTCCACCCCCAGCAAACTCCAAAGCAATCTGAACACTTCTCACACTCTGGAACTATATGCTAGTTGGGCTTTCCCCAACTCCCCAGGCTTTTACAAGTACCTATGACAGAGGGCTAGAATTGGCTGATCCTCCAGAATAAATGCTTCTCTTTAAACCAATCAGCAACACACTCCCTGTTCCTTAAGGTCTCCCAATCCCCCAAAGACATTTCTTGATTCTAGTTTACAGGATTTTTTCTTTGACCAGTCTTGGTTAAGGATTTTAACAACACTTACTCAAAAGACTGAAGTCTTACGTGAGAAGTATATCCTAAACTTTGGTATCTTTCACAGTACCTAGAACAGTGCAAGGCACATGGGTAGGCAGTCAAGAAATATTTGTTGATTGAGAGAGAGAATGGAAAGGAATTTCATTTTTAGGCTTCTAGATTTAAAGTGTGACCTGGCCAGGCTCTCCAGGAGACTCTTGACCTATTCCCCGAAACCTACCCAGCACATTACAACAGAGGCCTCAGCCTGCATCAATTCCGGCTCAGAAGAAGGCAGATGATCTCTGTGCTTCCCAACTTCTGCTGGCACAAGCTCCCTTCCCTACCTCTCCCTGGGAGAGCTCTGGAAGACTCCAACAAAGAGCTCCAGCTTGTATGAAACCCTGACGGGAAAAGACAGAAGGTCACTGAGAACCACCAACAAACAGTGCTTTCGCAAGGTGGGGTCCTGCCTGGGGCGTGCGCACAGGGGTGGCAGGGTGCTGAAGCCGCAGGTACCAGCCCCGTCTCCAAGTGCAGGGGCTAACCACCATGAATGACCATCCTTCCTGTGTCTGTACCTGGCACTTACTTTCATTCTTGCACATGTTACAACATACCATGTTCACATCTGTCTCCTAAACTGCAGACTTACTGGTAGAGAAACTTTATCTTCATTCATTTGTAACCCTTCACGCTCCCTGTGCCAAAGGAGGCAGGCATGAAGGATTTGTTGAACCAAAGCCCTTCAGGCTGCACAGAGAGCACATTTATTGTAAAAACCAAATTACCATTTTTCAGCAACCTCAAATAGACTTTTCTCAGACAAAAATTTCCAGGGTGTTTTCCAGATGAGGTATGCTCCAACAGTCTTCTCCATCCATATTTGAGCATTCTTTCTGAACTTCAAGAGACTTTTTACATGGTACAAGAAATACCATGACACACTGGTGTTTCAACTCATCATAGCAGATGATGAACTGTGACTAACCCACAAACGTCATGCCAATGCTGGATTTTGACTTTTCTTCCCTAACTTATTTGATGCTAACACTTTATTGTCAAAGATCCTGCTGAATTCACCTGCTGTCCACCATATACCCGGGATCTACTTAGATCTGCGTGCTTGTGGGAAGCTCAGTCAACATTCCTGCTTATCTATCATCCTTTTTCTCTTCTATTCCAAGGAAACGTGAAACAGCACAACTACCTGTATATTTATGCTTTAACCTTTCACCAGGACAGTGTTACTTTCTAGCTATCAAAATAAATATGCGGGGCCAGTTCCATGGCTCAGCTGCTGAATCCCCTGCCTGTAGCAACAACCCATATGGGTTCAAGTTTGTGTCCTAGCTGCTCCACTTTCGATCCAGCTCCCTGCCAATGCACCTGGGAAAGGAGACGAGCATCGCCCAACCCAATGGACCCCAACCACCAATGTGAGAGACAGAAAAGGAGCTCCTGGCTCCCAGTCTCCATACAGTCCATTCCCAACTGCTGTGGCCATTAGGGAAGTGAACGAGTGAATGCAAGGTCTCTCTTGATCATTGTCACCTCTCTTTAACTTGGCCTTCAAATAAATAACACCTTTCAAAGAGAATAACAAAAATGAGTAAGTGTAACACTTTGTTTCTAAAATTAATATCCAACTCTTCCAACATCATTTCAATTTGTTTTCAAGTCCCTCCTACTTGGCAAAAACCATGCACGCCACCCAAGGTATCTCTCTCTAATATGTTCTATAAGAATCTCCTTAAAGCCCCATTATCTTCCAGTTCCCACGTCTGAACATCTCAGCTTCAAACCGCATCATCCTGCCTCTCCATTCAGGCTCTCCTCCATCTTCCACTCCCATCAGTTTGCTATCACTGAACTGGCACTTGCAATCAGAAGCCAGAGCAGACCTCTGGCATTTCCGGGTATGGGTACGCATCCTGGGATCTAACGCAGAGGTAGGCACAGTGAGTGCTGGCTTAGGTCACCAAGGCCTACCATTATCTGCTAACACGAACACCAAAGATCGCAACTACGCAGCTCATCAACATTCCAATCAGTACCCTGCCTTAATATGACAGTCAGGGCTTCTGAATCTGTTTCACTTCAAACAATTACAAATGTCTGAGTCTTTTGTTTTTTAATTTTTCTGATTATATAATCTAAAATTAAACATGCAAGAAGTATCCTGCTGCCTAAAGTACACACTTTGGATAATGTTTCCAAAGGTTTCTATTTGCTCCAGATCTCCCAACCCAACCATTTATCCTTTAGTTCTGATCACCAACTGCTAACCAGCCTCTTGTGCACTTTCACCATCTCCTTCACTCTCGCACTATCTGCCCTCTTGCCTTCCTCCCTTTTACTCATAACAATTACACCTACTCTGCTGGACACACTCAATTTTATCCCCTCCATCAAGATCTACATCAGCTTGCAGCTGACGCCCTTTCTAAACACATGCATTCATACAGCATATCATATAAGCTTGCTTTGTGTATTGATGCAATAATTTTTTTTTCGTGAACCACAAACTTTAATAGTTTTCTTTCCAAGACAGAAATTATTCTCTATTGCAAACTCTAGTGCATAGTTAATTTAATCATCTTATATTCCATCTTCTAATGTTCGATCTTCTTTCTTATTTCTATAAGCCAACTCTATTAAACCTTACATTACTGTGATTTCAATCTTGGGAAAATAGTCATGGGATCCTTGATCTGTCCCACTCAACAGCGCCCTCCTGCACCTCCCTCCATTCAACACGAGCCTTTCTGAACAGTGAACTCAGAGCCTCTTAAACCCAGAAATCCAATGCAAACAGGATTAACTGAAAAGTCCACATTTTAGCCAAAATGTACCATTTTGCATAAGCAGTAATACTCATGTTTTTAATTTTAAAACTTTTCAAATAATGTTGACTGTAAATTTGGAACATACAGAGACGTATAAAGAAAACAAAAACCACATCTAAGCACCACACCCAGCATTAAAAGATTTTCATTTTAGACAACTTCAGAGATGCTAATGTAAATATGCATTTATAATATTTTTCCAAGCAGTGAAAAAAAGACAAAACTCTCAAAGAGTTTTCCTTTTTAAAGAGCTCCATCAAAACGACACACCAAAAACAAAAAAAATAGAAGAAGAAGAAGAAACAGGATTTTATAACTTTAAAGAAGTTCCAGGATTTACAAGAGACAGAAACAAAACACAGCAACCACAAATAAACCTACTTTTTAAATGACTGGACAAGGGCTCAAATTGACACTGGCAGTATCACATGTAATAAAAGTTCGAGTCTGGTCAATCCAACAATGCTAAACCAAACATTGCCAGTTCCCTAACCCTCTCACACAGGAATTTTTTAATAAAGTAATCAAAATCCTTTCCACAGCACTTCATATCTGTGAAATATCTCCTTGTCAACAGCATGCACAGGAATAGATGGCTAACTCTGAGCCTCAAGAAGGATGACTGGGACTAGGCCGACAGGGTCACGCGAAATGGAGGCACCCTCCATCACACCTCTTCCCATATAATGACCAATCGTTCTAAACCAATTATTTCATGTCATTTTAAGAATTTTTATTATGACTTAGGATTTCTTCCTTGGATAAGGGATACAAGACTAAATTACAAAAAAAAAAAAAAAAAAAAGAGTATTACCCACTTCTCTTACTATCCGAAATTAACCACCGTTAACATTCAAGTCCTACATCTCAGACACTTCCAACATGTTTTGTTTCGTTGTACAACACCGTAAATGTTCCTACTTAAATCATTTCCCACATCTTGATGTATTTTTATAAAACAATTTTAAAATGGCTATGGAACTATTAAGTATACAACAAGTTTCTTAAATATTTCTGAATGCAAACAGCAGATGCTCTCTTAGTTTCAAATTTTACTCCTTTATAATAATGTTGTAAACACCCTTTTGAACCATATGCCCTTATTTCTGATTAGCTCAGGATAAATTTCCAAATATAAGACAACTGCAGGTGAAAATAGAATGAGTATTTTAAGGATCCTGACACTGCAAAACTTTTCTAGAAAACAGCTACACTGATTTACACTTTTGCCAGAAATGAGGATGAAAGTTTGCCTTCAGCATCTCCCTCAGCATCAACAGTGTTATAAACCTGCTAAGCAAAAATGCTTATTACTATAATATTCACGTCTGATTATAAAATGTGTCAAATATTAGTCTCTTTATAAATTGTAAATTAATTTCTCTGCCTCACCTGCTAAAGCTTTCTTCACTTTCGTCTTATTGATCTGTAAATCTTTTATTAATTAAGAAAATCTGACTATAAATTTGAGTTTTCCTTGTCATTTCTGAGCTTCATTTCTAATATTTTTTTAACAACCAAGCTTTAAGTCTATTTCTTTAAAGACCATTTGCAGAAACTATTAAATCTTGAAAGTACGGATATTTAAATTATTTAAGTGTGCCATAAGTTCATACTGAATATACAGTTACTGTAGTAACTAGCTTCTCTAAGACTGTTTATCAAACACAGCATAAATCCAATCTGAGGAGAAAGAATTCAAGACAAACTATAACCATGCTTACCTGAGAAAGGCAGGCAGTGATTCCAAAAAAAATCTGACATGACTCTGGAGAAAAACCATTTACTCTGTTGTATAGTCATTAAGATTACAATGAAATAAGATAAATGCAACCTTTATTTCACTAGCACACACACTCCGTATGCCCACTTAAGACACCAACACCAACCCCATCCCACTGGAGAGGGACCGACTTAGGACGACCTAACAGGGCAGGGCAGACTGGACTAAAGAGACAGTAGATGGTAGTATAAAAATAACTGAACAATTTCCTGGAAAAGCACATAAAATTCAATCTCTGTGTTCATATCATAAATAAAAGGAGCATAATTTCTCTTGGAGGAAAACATCCGCCCTCCAACAGTGAAGTATATATACGTCTATAAACATATCCACGAATATACACACATACAGTACAGCAGTTATCTTCAAATGAAATTTAAAATGTCTCTAGTCTGTTTTAGAATGAAGCATTAATGTAATCATTTCTGAGGAATTCATCACAGAATGGGAACACTAGTGTTACCATTCGCTCTGTTACCTCGGGGAAGGCAACCCTGAGTATCAATCTCCTTTTTTAAGAGTTGAAATACAGAACTTCCGAGAATACCCTTCCTCGTTCTAAAGTTTTTGATGTCTAAAATTCATCCAAAGTCATACTGAGAACTTCAGATGTTCCCAGCATGAAGGCTGTGGCTAACCAGGAGGCAGACATGGTATCCGTGTGGATTTACTTTATAGCCTTTTGAAGCAAACACATGGACTTAAAATTTTTTTTTTTTGGTGTCCAGACTTAAAAATGGGTTCAAGTATTAATTCTCTCCCTATAGGGTAAAAGCATAATTACTTAGAATTTTTTAAAAAATATTTATCTATCTTTACTGGAAAGTCAGATTTACAGAGAAAGGAGATAGAGTAAGATCTTCCATCTGCTGGTTCACATATGCAGCAGTTAGAGCCGAGCCATTCTGAAGCCAGGAGTCAGGAGCTTCCAAGGTCCCAAGGTTTTGGGCCATCCTCTACTGCTTTCCCAGGCCACAAACAAGCACCTAGATGGGAAGCAGAGCAGCCAGGACATGAATCAGTGCCCATGTAGGATCCCTGGCATTCAAGGAGAGAATTTAGCCACTGAGCTATTGTGCTGGGCCCATTAGAATTTTAAGAAAAATACCATATTTAAGTCACTGTAATTTTGAAGTCTCCTATGCAAGTTTATACTTATCTCAGGAACGCTTAAGCCTTCTTTGGCTGTGATGATACTCCACGAAGTCACGGAGTCCATCAGGAAGCCCTCAGCCCCATTAGCCAAGGCCTGCTTCCGCTTCCTACCTCATCTCAGAGATTTTCTGCCTCCAAAGACTTGGGGAAATATTAACAGAGGCCAACACCAGAGCGTACTATCCACTAGAGAGTTCAGGATCCTCTTTTCCGGTCCTGTAGGCTTCTCTGGACAGGCAAGTAAGAGCTCGGAGGAGAGGCAGTTTAAGGAAGTCTGCTGTGCTGAGTAAATGATCCCAAATGGGATCACAGGCTTCTTAGCCTCAAAAACCCCATTCCCCCTAGCCTCACCTCCACGAGCTCAGAAATAAAGCCAAAGCAAAAGTTTAAAATGACAAGAGACTAGGAACTGCTTTCTTTCATCACTTTAGACAGTTGACAAGAATCTTAGGGGTTGCTGAAGTCCTGTACCTCCTCCATGAATTGTTTTTAAATTAATGTTTTCTCTGTTTATGTGACATCCTCTGTAAAGATACCTCATTAAAAACGGGAGTCCTACCACCGGCACTGACTCAACAGGGTGTAAGTGCATTAAAAGGAACTGCCTGGCATCAGCATAAGACAAAACAGGGTGAGTGACATCATCTCTTGTGCCGTAAATGTTATCCCAACCGTATGGCAGCAGGTACTGTTAAAAACACACAAGCAGGTCACTGTGTGGAGTGAACCTCCAGTGAGGTTCATCCTGTTAGAGTGACACAGCGCCATCAGACCTGAAGGCGTGAGCAGCAGGCCCCTTTGCTGACACGCCAGAGATGCTGCGTGACACACACAAGCAGGCCAGGCAGTTTGAATGGTGTCTTCCTCACTGCTCCACTCCCAGTGCTCAGCTCACAACCAGTGCTGAACATGCACACTTAACAGACTTCCTATCTGGTGCAATTAAAAACCATCTGAACACAGGTACAAAACCCCAGTGTTTCTCCTGGTCGTCTCTTCCCCAATCTCATCTTCAAATAATTCATGATCTGGTCCACACAGTCCGAGAGCTTTAGAAACCACCATCTAACTACACAGCACAACAGCTGAAAAGAACCAGGCCTGCTGCCTCCAGCTCGGTCCCCTCTGCACAGAGCTGATGACAATACGGAGGCAGGAGGGAGAGCAGCAGCGACCGAGGGCGCAGGCAAACCACTGTCTAACCTTCAACCCAGTTCTCCTTCCCTCCTTCCAACTCCGAAAAAGGATACGGCAGAAGAGCTCCACACTGGACGGACAAAACCACCCAAGAAGGCTGAAAGGGAAAAGATGAACACATTAGTAAATACTGTCCATTTAGAATCAAAATAAAACCACCTTATTAGCGCTGCTTCTACAAATGAAAAGGCTACATTCAGATTACAGATGTAAGTGTTCAAATAATGGAAACATAAAACTGAAAGACCAAATGAAAATGCTACCGGATGCTTTCAAATTTATGTGCGTTCACTCAAATCGGAGGTTTACATACTCGTGACTGCTGACTTGGCCATCAGAGGGGCAGGGAGACTGACACCCACCATGCCACCCCGTCAGAGGGTGACCAGCGCCCCAACCATTTCCTTATTGAATGCTACTTCAAAAGTAAATCATGAGATTTTATGTTTCAGCAAAACAAATAAGCAACAACAAATAAACAAAGACACAGTGCTCATAATGTTAACAATTAATTCTACCTGGTACCCTTTTGAGGAACTCCAAAACACAGTAATTAATTGCTATTCCTCTGGGTAATGTCCATTTTCGAAAAATCATCATCTTATGTTTCCATATTTAATCTTTGAAATTATACTCATCACTGTTAATTCTACTTCACAAAACCACTCTTCAGACACAACAACAAGCACAAGAAACAAAGTCTTTGCTCTCATACAACTTTAACAGCTGCAAACTATCCTGTCACGAACACCTTAGTGGACAACCAAGTTCTGCCCTCATCATTTATTTTAGCTATGAGCGGAAGTTTAAATAAGCAGATTTTCTACAAAAGAATGGAAATGCTAGACACTTTTTAAAACAGAGCAGCTTTACCTAGAAAACTTTATTTCATGATAATTTGTATAATTACATCAGATAATTATAGCAAACATGGAACAAAATATTTAATGTTCCTATTTATGCTGGCTAAATCCCAGCTAAATTTTAAGACTGTAGCAGCACCGGTAATCTGCATTAGTTTCACTGCCTCAATTCCAAACTTCTTCACCTGGGCCACGTTCCTCTCCGCAGTACCACCGAGCAGCCCCTTGGTCCCATGCCCACTGATGGAGGCCTAAGGCCGGACTCCCTGTGACCAGCGCTTCCAGCTGTACTTTTCTCCCACGTCCAGAAGGACTGCCCTGTTGGGGGCACTGACAATGTCCTGCCCTTTGCCCTGATTGGCGTGCCTTGGTGATCTTTAAGCTGATTGGATAGGATTGATATATAAGCCAGGCGATGGGGAGGAGGGGCTTCTGCCTAATGGAATTAATGGACATAACGGTTTTAACGGAAGGTCTGAATAAAGCGCCTCTGAGACGCTCTCCAGTGTCGGGTGATTTCTTCCGTGGGATGGGAGCCCCCGATACTGCCCCACAGCCTTTCTTCCGTGGGATGGGAGCCCCTGATACTGCCCCACAGCCTGAGCTAACACACTGAGCCATCAGAATGAGGGACAGCGTGGCTGTTTATGCAACATGGGAGCCGGCTGGCATGACCACAGCTGGGTTGGCAGGCAGAGCTAGAGGAAGGCAACCCTCACAAACATCCGGGCAGTTTATACCTTTGGAGTGGGCAGCAGATCCTGGTTTAACGTCTGCTGGTGTGACTATCATCAAGTCCTGCCCAAGAGCAGAATCACCCTGGAGCCAAAGTCAGTTAAGGCTAAGTAAGATAATTCAAATTTAAGAAGTAGGACACCCTAATGAAGCAGAAACGGACAACTATAAAAGCCAAGCTATAAGACTCATTTTTCCCACAGGCAAAGAGCAGTATATAAAAATAAAACCCACTTCAAGTCAGCATAATTAACATTTCCAATGATGCCCCCAAGGCCACTGAGAAAAATATTCCCATTCAGTTTGGGTGCCTAAAGAAGCAAATCTTAAACATTTCTAAAATCAAAGTATGTAAGTGATATACTGTCCCTGTGTACCAGGATACCTTATTTTTGAAATACACTGTCAAGTTTAATACCAAGGTAAAGGCCAAGGGATGTGCCCCTAGTGAACCAAGCTTCAACTGAATTCAGGCTCAGTTCGGAGCAGCAGTGGGAGCCTAAATCAGACAGCCCATGAGGTGCAAGCCAAGACTGCTAGGGCTGCTAGGGCTGGCCGCATCTCAAGAGTAAGTACCAGCTGCCGATCAGCTCTTAAAAATGCCATCACCCAACGCAGTCATGTGACAGACTGCAGTCTGCACAGGGGCTGCCACAAACTACAGGCAGGCTGGAATACTGAAAACAGGTACAGAGGAAGCGTGTCTGACACCCACTGTAAAATACTACAACCACAGGCAAGAACAGCAGAGCGACACCACGCTGGCCACTGCAGAGGTGAGCTGGTAATTGTCAAAGTCGCGGGCACTTTTAAGCAGTGACGTATTATATCCTGACTTTTTCAGGAATACAACTAGCATGTAAAACGAAAGCAGACTGCTTTGCTTAGCCAGCCAGAACTTCACCAAGGATTAGTCACCATTCTGAAACGTCACCTCACAGCTGGCAACTCCACTTGCAGGACACGACACTCGATGATCTGCATTTAACAGTCATACTCCGTGGGTCTACGCATGGCAACATCTGACAATCTCATCCTACATGCTGGCGTAACTATGTCCAAGTAGTCACAAAATGCTCTTTTACATTTCAGCTTGGGTAAACAGATATATTATATATATTACCTTATATATAACAATATATAATAATAATATATATAATAATATAAGGTATAAGGTAACAAATGGGATACGCAAAATATCTATCACAAAAAGCAGCTTTGGAGTTAGAAAGAGATCTCTGACTTGGTGGCCTGGCAATAATGGCCAAGGTCCCTAAAGGTATCAGGTCCCCCTATCATGAAATCTGCATAAGGTATGCAGAGTCAGCTCCTTGGAGGGGAAGGGATCGAAATGTCCAAGGTCCCACTCACCTGGTAACTTCACACTTAAAGCAAAGGTCCTGAGGACAGCCACTAAGAAACTTCAACACACAGCTTTCAAGACGTGCGCAAGGTTGGAAAACAAAGTCAACAGCATTTGATGCACTACTGACCTTTACCACGGGCAAGTCAAACACTTCCCTGGCTTCGCCGACCTCTGGGTTGTCCCCGTCCTCCGAAATGATATGTGAGGCCAAAGCGTTGTAGGACACTTCCTTGGCTTTTCCAGCTTTCAGAAGCTGAATAACCTGAAAGACAAAGCCACCCATGCAAATCAGCGTGGCAAAGGCTGCAGTGCCACCCTGCTTTATCGAAGTAATTACGGGAAATACACCATATTCCCTGAATCATACAGTTGACAGCTTTTTACTCCCAGTCAGAACAGCAACTCCTGATTCATCAACAACTGGAGGCTCCTGCAGACTGGCAGCTGGGCACTGCCCAGCGTGTAGACAGTCTCCCCATTAAAGGGACGGGACGGGAGAGCGTCCAGAAGAGGAGGCAGTCAAACCCGAGTGGAACCCTTAGAAACTGTTGACTGCCAGTCATGCAAAGCACATGCCCATGGTGAGGATTACATCCATGGTCCTGGACAGGCTGCTGACATGCAGACCACCTCATAAGCATCTCACATGTTATGCAGAAAGCACGCACTTCACTCCGCAATCCACATGAGTCAGTAGATAGCAGAGAAATAACAGGTGATATTAAAAAAAAAAAAAAAGTGACTGCTAAGAATGCACTGGGGTGGCGGATCAACAAGAATGCAACCAGGAAGAAGAAAGATGTGAGAGAATCAGCAAGATGTGGTGGCTGAAAGGGATACAGACCCAGGAGAAAAGTCTAGACTTAAAGAGCCACTCCCCCGAGAGATGGGAAGGCACAGGCTGTGGTGCCATGAGTAACACCTGGCCAGACACACCTGTTCTCTCTAAAAGGACTTGGCGCTTCCCTGCTGGGGAACCATCAGCATAACAGCCAAAGCCCTGAGAGGGCCAGAGATCCCCCAGGTGTGGAGGGTGTGGCAGGTGAACTGAAGGCTAACAAGGTAGCAAACAGAGCCCCGACAGGGAGACTCAAGCAACTGCTGAGAAACAGGTTAACTCAAAGCGAACCAAGCGAAATGGTACTCTCACACGGTGAACAGATGACCTTTCAGAAGACCTTATGGGTCAGTAACATACACGTATAGATGCTAAACACTCCTTAGAGCCATCTCACCTTTCTTTCCTCCCTGGACCAGCAAGCATCTTTGACTTCACACATCTATTTTACCTACTTACCCTGCAGCCTGACTTTACTACCTTTTAGAGAAGGCAGTCGCTTCCCACCACTCGCACGGTATGCAACTCAAATCCCCTTTAAGGGACTTCATCTTCCTCTACTCCCTTCCCCACTTCCTTTTCCTGACCAATGTCCTCAACCAAGTCTTAACCTTTTTGCCTTCATTTGCCATCCCAGTCAGTCTCCAACTTCTCACAGCAGCCCTCAGCAACAACTGAAAACTTACTCAATTTGCATGAACTTTGAGGATGTCAAAGCTAACAGCTTCTGGTCCATCTCCGTTGCTGACTGACCTCACATGGCTCTGCTCCAGATACAGCCATCACCCTGACATATTCCAAATACACCAATGCTTGCATTCTCCAGCACTAAGAAAATAACCTGACACCTTCATAAACTCTGCTTAGCGCAAGACTCGGCTGCACCGACCCCTGCCCAGCGCCATTTCGTGGTGTCTTCTCTGCATTTCAGCAGCACCCGTGCTTCAGGTGTGTCCTCCCCAGCGACGTAGCAAGTTCTCAAGGACAGCTGCCCCATCTTCAACCATCACACCTGGGAGCTAGGCTGCTGCCTGCCATGTACTAGATGTAGAATACAGAGGAACTTTCAAATCCGCATTTGATTTACAACTTTCAGTAAGTCAGAAGTTGGGACGCTCAACTTTCTACATTTCGTTCACTGCCTTCCCAGACCCTATTCTACATTACGTATTATGCATAATATGCGATATCCCTGCTAAGGCTCCTGCGAGAGCAGCAGGAGCCGGCCACAGCCACGACCGGTGCCCCTGCCACACACAGAAGGACCACTCGGGTGCAGCTTCAGGTTCCTGCCTCACTAAACTCAACCCCAGCCCTCTGCAGCCATTTGGGGAGTGGAGCGGTAGCTGGAAGGCCTCGACCCCTGCCCCCAGCACTTAGGTGCAGGCGAGCATGGTTCTGGTTCAGCTTATCATAGGTTTTGGTTCAAATCACCCTGCCCCCATAAGAGCACCAAAATCCTAAAATCAAACAAGGGTAGGAAGGACAAAGATGCGAATGATGCAGAAATGAGCAATATGGGAAAAAGCGACCCTATTACAGGTATTCGTTTGCGCCAGACTGGGTTCAGCACTTATCTCATTTTAAATCCTAAGTTACTAGTCTCCTTACCCTAAAGTTCCAGTGGGAAAGAATCCAAGGCAGTTTAGTTACTAAGAAACCAACTGGAAGCCTTGGCAAGGCCGAGACCGACCTGCCTTCCAGTCTTTCTCCCGCACCCCGTCCCAGGCCTAAATCCTGAGCATGCAATAGCTTCCGGATCCTCGTGGCTTAGCGCTGAGACACCCCAAACAACACAGCTGTGTACTTCAACTTTTGCAAGGCGAGTATTTTGATTCATTCCTACCATGATGACGATTAAACAGCTGTATTACAATGTCCTCTGGCGTGAGAAAAATTAAAATGTTCAATGTGATCACACCACCGGGGCTATTTCCCACACTTATTGTATAATTCTCCCAATTAGGAAAACCAATGAAGAGGAGCGGCAGCCCCCGCTCGGCAGGACAGGAGGCTGCCGTGCGGCGAGCGCTCTGGGCTCCGCACAGACCGGAGTCGCCTAGCAGGAACCTGCAGGAGCGTCCCCGCTGCTGCGTGCGCCCGGGAGTCCCTGCAAAAGCTACAGCGCCCCGGGTTCCAGTCTCCTGTTCCCCGGCCTCCTGCTCGTCCGCCACCCCCTCGCCTTCCAAATCATCCCTTCTCCAGCCCTGGGTCCGAGAGGATGCAACGCCGAGGGCTCCCAAAAGAGGCATGGGCGATCTGCGGCCGAGGAGGCGGCCGAAGCACGGGGCTCCCTCCAGCTCCCCACCGAGGCTGCTCCAGCCAGGTGGGGGGGACTGGGAAGACGGGCACCCCGTGGCGCCAAGCCCGGGGATCAGGGCGCAGGGAAGTGAGAGGGTGGCGGGGGGGACAGTGAAGACCCCGACGGGAGCAGGTGGCCCGCACGAGAGGGGCGAGCGCGACCCCCCACCACCCCTCCCTGCCCCCCTCGGCCCCGTCCCCTCCCCCCAGCCGGTGCCCCGCGCCCCCTCGCCCAGGGCGCAGCGCAGGCCGGCGGCCCTCGGCCGGACTTGAGCGGGGCCCAGGGCTCAGCGGCCGGGCGCGCGCCCGCAGCGAAGCGGGGACGGGGACGCGGACGCGGAGGGAGGCCACGGCGGCGCGGGCGCGGTACCTGCGGGTCGATGTCGCCCACCGCGTAATACTTGACCTCCCTGAACATCTCCTCAGGAACTTTGGGAGCCTGGTCCGACATGATCGCGGCAGCCCGGAAGGCTCCGCAGCGGCGCCGGGCCCCGCCCACCCCCGCCCCCGACCCCCGCGCGGCCCGCACAGGCCGGTGCCCCCCACGCGCGCCGACCAACGGCCCCGGCCCGCACGGCCCCGGCCCGCTCCTGCGACTCGGGGCCCGCTCCCCCGCCCTCCGCGCCCCCGCCCGCGCCGAGCGCCCGAAGCGCGGGAGCCGCGCGCGCCCTGCGGGACGCACCATCCGCTCCCGGCCGCCGAGGGGGAGCCGCGGCCGGCGCCCCCCGACAGCCTGGCCTCCCGGCGCCTCCGCTGCAGCCCACAGCTCTGGACGCAGACGGCGCTGCGGAGCCCGTCCTGCAGACGAGGAGTCCACGGCCGCTGCCCTCCGACCAGGGAGCTCCGTGGACGTGGGTCGGCCCGCCTCTCCCCCCCGCGGCAGCGCTCGAGTGAGCCAGTCCCGGGAGGGAGGGGAACGGGGAGGCCCCTCCCGTCACCACACGCGGCCGCTGCTCGCGCCGGCGCATGCGTGCGCCGGGAGGGGCGGGGCCGAGCCGCGGCCGTGTGGGAGGCGGCGGAGGTGTCCGCGGGACGCTGCCCGTGCGTGGGCTGCCGGCCGTGGGCCCCTCGGGACCCGCTCGGTCGCTCTCCGCGGCCCCAGCCGCTGGCCAGCCGGACACGCAGTGCTCCCTGGGGGCTCCGGGCGCCTGGCGACGCTGCAGAGGGATTCTGGAACTCTGACCGCTCCCCCATCCCCCAGGTATGGGGTTTCCTGGCCAACGGCCGCTGGTCCTCCAAAGCCCGCCGTGGGACTAGCGAACGTGGGATGTGTTGATTTGACCCGGTCCTGAGTTTATTGATGCTATCCGATCTCCTTTGCCGATGCTAAAACGTGCCGCAGTGGCCGTTCTTGTGCCCGGTCCACCGTGGTAGGAAGGCCCCTGTCCCGGTCTCCGAACTAGCTCTCGGGATACAACCATCTTGTACGGTGACTGAAGGTTGGTTTGCCAAAGGGCAAGGCTCAGTCAGGCCTACGGTTCCTCGCCGCCCTGCTGAGCAGAAAATGAGCATTTAAAATCAGTGTTAGTGAAATTAGCTTTTTTTAAAAAAATCCTTTCAAAATCAACCACACCTGAGATAACACTTGGTCTGGTTGTTCGTTGATCAGCATGTACTATGGGCTGGCTTCATCGGATGGCTGTTGTTGGAAGGTTCTTCATCAGTTTCGCTTGTCCTTAATTTTGTGTATAATACATGACTTGGGGTGGACAGAAAGCAAACAGGCCACATGTAAAAACTGTGTTATCGCCAATAATTTTTTCCATTTCTCCGATGAACAATCAGAAGCAGCCCTACTGTACGACTAAGAAATTTCCTTTCCAGGTAGTAGTAACATAGAGTGCTTGTCTAAATGAACAATCAACAGGTTAGCCGTCGGCATGGGTAGGTCTGTCTAACTTTCCTGTTGGGGCAGTCTTTAAATTCCCAGGAGCAGCTTTGGTGATGCGTATTCCAACATTGTCACTGCTTTAAACTCTGCACTCAAATATGGAATTTGTCTTCAGTGGCCTGTGTGAGAAAAGCCTTCTGTCTCTCCAACACAAAATTATGCGTGACATTTTGCTTCTAAAAGACTTGAACAGGGCCACCAGAGACAATCACTCTGTAAGTTAAGAAAGCGATTTGTTTAAAGCAGTGGTGAGGGAGAGCAGCTTGTAAGGGCAGGCGTTTGATACCGTGGGTAGGGCCTGGCTCGGAGCACCTGCTGTTCCAGTCCCCGGCCCCCGCTGTTCCAGCTTGCCCAGCGTGCACACCAGCAGCTGGGAAGTATCCAGGTTCCCGCCGCCACGTGGAAGACCCGGGTTCAGTTCCCGGTTCTTGACTTCAGCCTGGCTCCACAGTCATGGAATGAACCAGAAGATATTCTCTCTTTCAAATAATTTTTTTTTAGAAGCAATTTGTAATAAACAGCAAGCCAGTTGTTCCTTCAGGTTCTGAATAGTAAGACATATGGTGAGAGGGCTGCTATGTAAAATCCCTGTGTGGCCTGTGAGGTGAGCTGTGCAGTGCGCGCAGTGGGTCTTCACGGCTCTGGGTCCGGAAAGCCTACAGCCAGAGCCACGCACAGCACTGCTCACGTGTCAGTGTGCACTGCGGCCGATGCGCATAGAGCATTCTCACTTGGACAATGGCTATTCTGAGGAAATCTAAAAAGCTGACAGTCTGAGGTTGGGAGGGGAAAAATGATCCAGCAGAAGACTAAAAGGTGACCAGTGTGCAAAGAGAAGCAGTGGAACTCATTACAACTTTGCACAAAAAGATGATGTCTTCTGTAATGTCAAGTATCCATATGCAAGGTGGTGGAAAAAATACCATGTTGAGACAGCGATGTTTTCCTCACAGATAACTCGATTTTTCTGACTCAAGATGACCCATGTCAAGGTCATAATACTTGCTCATTAACCTGCTAGCTTGCCTTTCCTGTGTCTAGCAGGTGCATGTAGCACTCCCGAGTATGACCATACTTCTCCCAAGGCAATCCAAAGGACAGAACGCCAAGATCAGAGGCACAAACCGGCCCGATTTATGACAAGAGCCACTGTTTGACCAGTAGCAGTTTAGTTATTTGGCATAAAAAAAATCTAAAAAGCCTAAGACAGGGATAAGTGTAAATTACCCCAAAGCCTGTACCCACAGCAGCCACACTATGAAATCCTACACAAAATATATATATATATATATATTTTTTTTTTTCCTTCTATAAAAGGCAGGAGGAGAGTGAATTGGTTCATCCTCTACCTCCAACTGCAGGCATCCCTCAGGGGCGCCGGTTCTTGTCCCAGCTGCTCCACTGCCCATTCAGCCCCCCCTGCTCGTGGCCTGGGAAAGCAATGGAGAAGATGACGCAAGGCCGTGGGACCCTCCACCCAGGTGGAGATAGAAGCTCCTGACTCCTGGCTTTGGATCAGCTTAGCTCAGCTCTGGCCATTCTGGCCACTTGGGGAGTGAACCAGCAGATGCAAGATCTTTCTCTCTGTCTTTCCTTCCCTCTGTTAATCTGCCTTTCCAATACAAAATAAATAAATCTTTTTTAAAAATGTTCTTTCAAGTGAATAAAAGAATCCATGCTTAATACTGCGTAACTGTATTGTTACACATTTCTTGCTTCTAATTAAGCAATTGCTAACAATGCTACAATGAAAAGAAGTAATGTTAGAATTGGCATATGCATATTATGTGTTCTGTCCTGCGCTCTAAGGACAGACTCTGTCCCATACCTGCTTCGTCATTTAGCACACCGCACATATGTGAGTCAGAAGGCCTGAGCTAGGGGTCCCCACTTTTGCAGGCTTGTAAAGACTGGCACGCTGCCGTCTCCCACCATGCTTAAACGAGGTAGCTGGCTGACATGGTCTTCCTTCCTGTCCAGGAACAGGAAATGCATTCTTGGAGTTTTGCCAATTTCTTCCATTTGTTTAAAAAGCAATTGTGTAAATTTTACCTTGTAATATAAAACAAAAATTCCAGAAAATCTTTGTATACTTGCTTTTTATTGTTAATGTGGAAGACAATAGTACTAGCCTGTAGGGCGGCAGCTTGAGCCAGCACTGCAACACCATAGCTGTCAGTTCGAGTCCCAGCTGCTCCACTTCCGATTAGACTCCCTGTTAATAATCCTGGAAAAACGGGGGAAAGTGGCTCAGATGTTTGGGTCCTGGCGACCCTTGTGGGAGAAGAAACTCCTGCCTTTGACCTGATCCCGTGCTAGCTTTTGTGGCCGTCTGGGAAGCGAAGCAGCCAATGGAAGAGCATCTCTCCCTCTATATGCACATGTGTGTGTCCCAAATAAACAGATCTTTAGAAAATGCCTTCTGCATTTATGTAGTCAGTACTTGTTGAAGTCCTGTAATGGCAGTGTTGGATATCTTTTGTTCAACTCCACACCCTCAGATCTGAGCTCCATCCTTCACTGGTCCACCCCAGGACACTGCCCTGACTTAGGCTAGACACCCATGAAGTCTGGCTTCCAAAGAGGAAAACTCCGACGGGAGGCTGAGAGCAGCAGGATTAGCAGTTTTCCTCCAGGTAATTGAGCAGGTTTCTTTGAACTGGCAAAGGACAGATTTCTCTAACAACTCCCGACTTCCAGGTCCTGGGAGCAGCGATGGCTTCCCCACTTCCCTCTCGACTTTCCTTCGCTGTCCACGCGTCGTGTTTACACTGTTTATCGTGCTTTCGTAAGTAAACATGATCTCAGTGTGAATGTGCCAAGTCCGATTGTGACCCTGATTAATGGACGGGAGAACGTGACAGTGACGATGGACTTTTTTTTTTCTTAACCAGTGTCTACCCTAACACTCACATACTCAGGCCTAATACTCGTGTTGGAATTACTCACAGATGCAGCAGATATTTAGAGAAGAGGTATTAGGACAGCTGAGGGAAACTTGTTGAATAGTTTGGATGTGAAGAAAATAGTTCTTAAAGGAGAAGAAAAAATGACAGCCAAGAGGGGGAAGTTAGGATAGTGGGTTTCATTGGTTCCAGTGGAAGTCGGGGCTGAAAACAGAATCAGCCCAGCAATTACAACCGCTGGCTGATCAGGGCGATGGACTGTGCCGGGCCCTGTACTTGCTAGTACATACAAGAATCTGGTCTGGGAACACCTCAGACAAAGTTTCTTTGGGGATCTCCCCAATCAAACTGCCGACTCAGAACCCTAACCAAGAAAAGACAGAACACAGAATAAGTCAATCAACCACCTCAGCAGAGATTGGGCAGAGACTCTATGATGGACTATGTCAATCAGTGGATTCTTCAACCACCTCATCGTGCTTTGAATGGCGAGATTGGCAACGATTCATAACTGATGAACTATCAAAACCACTTGAGCAAGAATCTCAGAGCATGCCCCACATCCTGGACCTGGGATGGGTGGGAAACTGGGTGGGGCTTCTCCCTCAATATCCCCCTTTACCTCAGATACATGAAGGAAACAATATGGAAATGACAGTCTTACTCACTTTCCTATAG